AGGGAAGATGAAGGGGAAGATAAAATACTACCTCGGAGTAGGATACGATCGAAGCACCACCCATCATCAGATGCAACTCTAGCAAGGAGAGGAGAAGATTTAGAGAAATTTTGAAATAAAAGAAAACAAAAACGAACCCTGACAAGCAAAACAACACATATAATAACTAATAAAATAAAATAGGAAGGGTAAATTCCCCCCTTTGAGAGGCAACCAGAACAGAAGGAGGAAGAAGCAGTAACAGGGAAATCGGGGAGGTGGGGAAAGGAAAGTAGAGAAATGAGGCGTGAGCGGCAATTCCCGCCTGTAGAAGGCCGATCGGTTCAACAGAAGGTTGGAATGGATCCTCCTCAGGTTGGATTAGCCGAAACTCTCATTCCGCTCACATCACACCGTCTCTTTCTCGCGTCCCAGCCCTGTGTCACGATAACAACTAATAACTGACTAACTAGATTTTTTAAGCCTTACACCTAAATTAAGCTTTAAATTATTTGGCGGGCTTCGTGTGGTGGAAAGCGTCATTGGTGCCGGTCTAATAGAGAAATGTTTTGAAGTTCATTTTATCAGTGCAATAAGGTCAAATTGAGTTGATCTTTTAAACAAATTAGTTCATCTTATTTTCTTACAAAAGAAAAGAACAGTATGGAATTTGCTGATAGGTATGATAGCTACATGCGATTCTTATTGGCATGTTGTGTGTTCTTAATATTATTATAATGCAATAATATCATTTACTCTTACACGACTTCCTAAGAAAATTATTTGTAGAATAAATTGTTTATCGTTATACAATTTGAATTTTTAAGAATTATATATGGTACTCTATATTGTTTTTATGTTATCAAAACTTGAAGACCTTTCTGAAATTATTTTCAGAATTGTCTTCACTTTTGTAAATGATAGTATTTTAAATTATGGAAAAGCTTCTCATTAAGGGTATGTTTTGGACAGCTTTTCGTCTGTTTTGCTTTTCAGACCGCCACCATAGTTCTGTTTAGGAAACTGCTTTCTTGCTGTTTTTTTTTTAAATTTTTGTGGTAGAAAGCTGCGTTTCTCAACTGAGCTGATAAAGTGTGGTGGTTGTCAGAAAACTGTACTCTGACTTTTTGAAAGTAAAATAAATTTATAATAACCGTTACAACTTTTTGGAAAGCAATTTCTTCTACAACAACTTCACAATTGCTTCAAATAACTTCAGCTACCCCATACATGCCCCATGTAGCAATATTTTTGTTTATACCTTGGCACTCCTTTTGTAAATTACTATATTATTTAACTTGGGTGTCATGAAGCTGTCGAGGCTAGATAGTTGCCCTTTTATATTTCCATATTTTCTTTATTTGCGGTCAATGAACTCTTTGCTTGTACTAGTGACGTACTACAAATTCTTCTCTGTTGAAGCATGCGGTCATATGGCTTCAATGAGTGATAAATATTTATAAATTGCTCTTAGAATGTTGTTTATGTTGTAGAGCCTAACCTTCAGTTGCTTAGGTTGACATGGAGGAAGCAAAATCACTTGAAAATGCGAAGTTGCAGTCGGCTTTACAGGAAATGCAGCAGGAGTGTAAGGCAACCAAAGCTCTTTTAGTAAAAGAGAAGGAAATGACTAAACAGACTGCTGAGGAAGCTGCTAACTTAAGAATGGTGCCGGTTTTCGATACTCCTCGAATGGATAAGCTTACTGCTGAAAATGAAGAACTTAAGGTAGACATACAATATTTGTTTGCATTTCATGCAGTCTTATAAACTTTATTTTTTCGACGTGTAGTGGTGTCAACTTCTCTTTTGTTTGGGGTCTTACTCTCTCTCTCTCACACACCATCTGCATCTATACTTAACCTCTCTCTTTTCCTTGTTTAAATTTCGAGGCATTGGTGAATTCTCTTGAGAAAAAAATAGATGAAACCGAGCAGAAGTTTAAAGAAGCAAGTAGAGTGAGTGAGGAAAGACTCAAGAAAGCTCTTGAAGCAGAGTTAAAGATGCATCAGTTGAACAATTCAATGCAAAGGTTGTTGGATTTCTGCAACTTCTGAAATCTCACTTTCATTGTGATAGTATGATAGTTTTATTCTCTTGGTTATGTAATTTTTACAACTGAGCTGCTTTCTTACAACAGTTTAAGAGAGAAGCTCTCTGACATGGAAACCGAAAATCAAGTCCTTCGGCAGCAGTCCTTACTAAACTCTTCTATAAAACCCATGTCTGAACATTTATCAATTGCATCAACTCCATTGAAACATGTATGCATTCATCTTGAAACCGTCCATTTTATTTCATCTCCATTCATGTGTTTGTCATGCCTTTACTGTTTCTTTCCTGCAGAATTTGGAAAATGGTCAGTTAAAATCTGAAGAGACCAAGGTTTTTCTTATTACTGTTTATTATTATTATTATTATTATTTTATTTTTATAACTTTTTTTCCTATTCTCTTGTTGAACTTCTGCTCCCATTTTTTGTAGGAACCACAGTCGGCACCCCCAGCTATCAAGGATCTTGCGAATTCTAGTAGTAAATTAATGATTCCAAATGCTGAAAGACAACATGTATGTTGTAAACTGTCTAACTTATCTGTTTTTATTCCATTCTGCTGAATAATTGGAAATTTTTTATTTGCAGGAGAGTGTTGATGCTCTTTTCAATTGTGTTGTAAAAAATATTGGTTTCAGCAACGGGAAACCTGTTGCTGCATTAACAATTTATAAATGCTTTCTTCACTGGAAGTCTTTTGAATCAGAAAAAACTAGTGTCTTTGACCGCCTCATCCAGATGATTGGTTCTGCTATTGAGGTAATATGTTGATTGTAAGAATGAGCTATATGATTGTTTTTTCTACTTTGGCTTTATCACAGAACTGATATATGGTATATCGTTAAATCTGAATTTAGGGTTTCATCTTTCTTATTTTAAATTTAATTTAATTTATTTGTTTTCTTGAGTTTCTTGATTTATTATCATTTCGTAATGAAGTCATGCATTCTGTATGTATACTGGAATCCTGAAATGCATGCTTCTTTTTTACAAATGAAATATTTGATTTTTTCAATTCAAGGTTCAAGACATTGTCCGTGTCAATCTCCGTGTCATTTAGTTTCATCATATACATTATTCTAGCACGAAGACATGTCTATCTATTGTGTAAACAGCTTGAACATGCAGTTGCTAGTAGATTCTGCTTTATTCTTGTTTTAACCATGAAGCCCTAGTAATAGTACAAGGTGATACCGGGGTTAATCCAAACCACAATAGGAAAAACAAATATTATTATTTATGGAAGATAGGCGGTTACAACCAACATACCTGAAAGGAAAAATACAACAACTCGACACTAAAAAATATGAAATAACAACATACATGACACAAACACTCAAACTAGAGTGGATCTCGGGGTGGTAGTGGTGGTGGTGATCGGCGAGAGTTTGGAAGGTGGTGGGATGGTGGACGAGGTTGTGGGCAAAGCTGAAAACAGCAATGCAATGACTTCCTAGGTTCCGGCCAGCTGGCACGCGATAGATATCGACGTGGAACGGCTGTTCAGGATAATGGCGGGCTGGAACAACAGCGGCAATGAAGATGGAGGGCTGGAACGGTGATAGAGGATTCGGCGGACTGCTGGACTGCAAAAGAAAGGCTGTCCTGGACGGGGGCAAAAGGGCTGGACAGCGAGAAATCTGCAGGAAAACAGCTAAAGGCTGTTGTCGGGGTGGCTTGCAGCGAGAAGGAATGCGTGGCAGTGAAGTGGGAGTGATGCAGATGAGCTGGAGAAGGATAAACGCCACTTGGAGACTAAAATACACTCGAAGCACCACTTACAACCCTAGGATACAACCCTCGAAGGAAAGAAGAGATGTTGGTGGCTTTCCGATACAAAACACACAAAAATTTGACTTTCAAACCCTAATACAACACATATATATGAAAAAAATAAAAAGTAATGAAGGATTATACGGAAGAAATTGTAGAAAAGGAAATTGGGATTGATTAAACCTGTCTCTCCGTCTCTCATGATCAGGTCATCCTGCATCCAGAGTGGACTGTTTACTCATCACAATGAGTTTCGTCCTTAAACAACAAGAACCTGACAATTTCTTCCATAAATCCTATTTTTATGCATTTTCATGATCAATACCAGCATAAACATCTCTGAACAAGGTTCTAGCGCGTGCCAAATGTGTCCGAAAAAGAAGAGCAAAGCAAACGTATCATGTCCAATAGTAAACGAACCCCTTGGAGTGCTACGAAAAACACCATTGGATTTTAAAGTAGTCCGGTCTAATTCAAAATTTTCACCCAATGGGGCACGTTTGACATACTTTTTCATAGCAGGATCACTATAAATGACTCCATTGAGCCCGCAGCCATAAAATTCAACAATTACCTCTACTTGTTCAATACTATACTTCGATTCTTCCCTTCTAAAAGGAAAATCAGCCCTCCCAATTCCGTCAGCTTCTACCAAAACTATTGGAAATGTATCAAAAAAATTGGGCATATGATGTACAAAGAGTTCATGCCCTTGTTTATCTCTAAATATGGGGTGCCATAACAACCCAACAACTATTCCATCTTCGTTATTCATTGAGCCTGCTCTGAATAATCATCCTTTTGCCTGATTATTACCAATGTAATCATAAAAAAACTAATTTTTCGGGATTTTTAGACCAAGCTTCCGATAAGCTCAGATTTTCGGCTAGTTTAGCCCTAAATTTTCTATATATTTCTTATTTGAAGTACCCTTGATCCCACTGATTATGAGTGGGGCCAGATAATTCGATTGGGAAAGTTGTTGAACCATATCACATACTTCCAGCAACAACAAAAGCTGAAAAAAAAAATAGCAACAATACTACTGGAAAGCTCAGTTTCAATATTACCCATGCATAATCCTTTGCATAGACGTTGAGACGGACAAATACTAAGATGGAATAGACCTGCTAAGCTGTCAAGTCAAAATTAGAACTAGCTCAATTTGCAGAATTAGAAGCCTTTGCACAATTTACTTTTGATTTACTTAAAGCTACTCAGAATCAATTAGCAAGAGGTCAGCGATTACGTGAGTTGCTCAAACAATCCCAATCAGACCAGATAGCTACTATTTATGCCAGAACAAATGAATATCTTGATCTGTTAAAAATTTGACAGGTAAAGAAATTTCTTGTTGGGTTATGTACCTACTTAACAAAGATGAAACCTAAATTCCAAGAAACTCTATCTTCTAGCAAGATATTCATCGAAGAAGCTGACCCCCTTTTGAGAAAAGCTATTCAGGAACAAATTGAACTCTTTCTACTTCAGGAACAAACATAAATGTAAATTGATCATTTTTATTATATTCTTAATAAATAGAAATCCTTAATAAATATTTCTGATTCAAATCATTCAAAAAAGGAGCTTTATCCTTTATAAAATAAAGTTCCTTTTATATATCTATTCTCTATCTAGAATCGATATATTAAATAAATTGCGTCCAGTAGGATTTGAACCTATACCAAAGGCTTAGAAGACCTCTGTCCTATCCATTAGACAATGCATGCCCTTCATTCCTATTTTTGCATTTTTTTAGGAAAAAAGATTCTTTCATAAAAAGAAAAATGATGCATATCAAAAAGGATAATGAATCTGATATTTGTTTATCATATGAAGTCAAGGAATGAGTATATAACGGATTGGGTAGCGGGAATCGAACCCGCATCGTTAGTTTGGAAGGCTAGGGGTTATAGTTGACGTTAGTTGATCATTTTTAACATCTCTAATTCAAAACCGAACATGAGATTTTGGTTTCATTCGACTCCTTTATGGAAGATCTATGTATTCCCACCAGAGAAAAAATTAAATCCATAACATCTATGTTAGCTTTTTTTACGAATGCATCTAAAGCTACTTGCTTTTTAGATGATCCCTATAGAAGAGGAGGGTTTTTATCAAATCTTTATAGTCTAATTACATTGTTCCCCATTTCTTTTCTTCTCTTCGGATCCTAAGAAAAATAATTTTGTTTCTATCGAGCTTATATATATATATATAGAGGGAGGGGGGGGGGGGGGGGGGGGGGGGGGGGTTTCTAGTAAACCAAAATCATCATTTATAGCTATTTTGGTTTCAGTCTCCCCTTTTTAAGCTAAAAAATTGAAGATTTATTTACGATTGAAAGTTTTGTATTATTATCTATAGATCTTTTATTCATACTCATTTAATTGGAAGAATTGAATCAATCAAAAAATTTATGCTTCTCAACTCCATAATACAATTTTTTATGAAAATTTTGATTGTCTTTTGGATAGAAATTGTGATATTGTATATTATTTTCTCAATTGTGCTATGGAGGGATAAAGTATTAAATCTTTTTAAGTAATAAAGTTTTTGATTTGGAATATGAAATATGAAAAAAATGGGAAAAACCACTAACTATTGACATTGCTAATAGAAGGAATCACATTGTTACCACTAATTTATACCTGCTACATATTCATTATTGGATACAAATGGGCCTTTTGTCCAACAAAGTAATCATATATAGTCAAGATAACATAAATATATGTTTAGAGAGAGGGTGATTCCTATAAGAAATTATCAATTTATCATAAGATTTTTCCGTTCCTAAAAATCAGCACTTTAAATCCTGAAAACTGACAGGTTTGAGGATTAATCCTAAGAGTAAATACTTTTATGCATGCCTCTTATGGTTATTTTTTATACATAATGTATTTTCGTAAGGTGATACACTTTAGCTAAAAATCAGGCTGGTATCATAGGCACACTGGGAGCGTAAATAAGTGTAGCCCTATACATATGAACTAACTGCAATGAAATGTCAATCCTCGGGAATTAAAGATCTATAAATTAACTAATGCTTGGCCGCAATGGAATGAAAGACTCTTATCCCTCCCCAATATGATAAATTACAAAAATATATGTTCTGCCTTTTCTATATAGGAACTCGAAATACCTTGCTTACGTATCATTGGAAAGTGCATTAACATAAATACAGCAGTAAGAAGAGACAATACAAAATTATGTAAACTATAAAAACGAGTTAAAGTGGATTGACCCACACTAACACCTCTACATAATAATTATACCAAAGGTGATCCTATTATAGGAATAGCTTTAGGCACGACTGTTACAATTTTTACTACCCAATAGCTAATTTGGTCCCAAGGCAAGGAATAACCAGTTATGACAAAAGATGCGGTCAATACATCCAGAACTACCCCGGTTGCCCAAATTAATTCGCGAGGTTTTTTAAAACCACCCGTAAGATACATACGAAATACGTGCAAGATCATTATTATAACCATCATACTTGCTGATCATTGATGAACTAATTGAATTAACCAACCAAAGTTGGCCTTAGTCATTATGTATTGAATAGAAGAAAAAACCTCTGTAACAGTTGGACGATAGTAAAAGTTCATAGCAAAACCTGTAGCTATTTATACTAAAAAATAGGTAAGCATAATCCCCTCTAGACAATAAAATATGTTGACATGAGGAGTAACATATTTACCAGTTATATCATATTCAATCTCTTGAATCTTGAGACTTTCCACGAACTAATCATATACGTTATTGCAATAGGTCACCTAAGATCCCCCTCTGAGAGCCGTATATGAGAATTTCATCTCGTACGACTCAAGCCAAAACCCACATACTAGTTTCAATGGATATGAAATATTTTATATAGAGTTTCAAATTCCTTGTGGCTTAGCCGCTTGACTCAATGTCACCCAAAGATACCAAGTAAGAAAAATCCAGAATCTCTTCTTTGTAATGATAATGTCAAGAAATAAAATCTTAAGTTGATCATGACAGGACTCTTGAATCTTCTCTTCCCTATCTTTTTTTTTTTTATAATAATTCTTTTGTTGAGGCCCTATGAATCAAATCTCAGATTCATACTAACAGGACTCTTGAATCTTCTCTTCCCTATCTTTTTTGTTTTATAATAATTCTTTTGTTGAGGCCCTATGAACCACAATGATTTAATAAAATCGAAGCTAAACTCAAAGGGTTTTTTAGTAAAAACCATTTGATCATCATTTATTTACTGAATGTAATAACTCAACAAAATCTTATAGAAAGTGGTTTATTTTGGAGAAAAAATTGTTTGATTTATAAAATAAAAAACCTTTTTTCATTTTTTTCTTAAAATTAGGTTGCGAGGTCTGAATAATAGGTATGAATCATAGTTTAAATATTTCTTTTTTTGATATATTATATATAGTCTGTACTCCAGAGACTACAATAAATATCTGACGGTAGAGTCATCTTGATAGAGATGACAAATCCATTTTTTTTGTATTATCATTAGGATCAATTATAACAAGTCACGCGCTCATATTCTAGACTTGAAATATCGAAACAATAAAATTTCATGATCGAACAACCAGAATGGTCTATAAATCCAAGTCTTAGGTAATCTTAAGTTAAATTATTAAATATTTTAATATTTTAAGCATTAAGTATAAGTAAAATAATTTTTTTTAATTGAAAAACTAGGACTTCTTAATTTTTATGAAATGATTAATTGAAATTACATCCAGTAAAACAGATGAATTATATATTTCTAAAATATATAGAAATATTGTAAATAAAGCTATTGCAATTCCCATAAGTGGTGTAGTTCCCCACACTAGAGTTTTTTTTTTCATATTCTAAACTCCATGGTTTCAATAAACTCTCTACGCCAGTTCATCTTGGCCCAGATTTAGAACTAATCTAAATGATTTTTGTAGCCATAAATCATTTTTTATCATGACTTGAAATCTGTCGACTTTGTATACTATTTTGTTGTAGTTGTACATAAACGACATTATCATGATCCTTTTGTGATCAGGGAACTTTTGATGAGTTTATTCAAGAAATTATTTCATAAAATGTCGTAAGTAAGAATCTTCTTTTGAGGAAGATAAAAAGATATTGAGAGGAAAAAAGGTGAAACAAAAGATATCCACTACTAACTACTATATTCACTATTATGCTACTATATTCACTACTATGCTACTATATTTACTGTCATGCATACTAGTATACATAGTGGTCAACTATACAGACATAATCTTTTTATAGTATATTATTTCACCATGGGCGGATAGCAGGAATCGAACCCGCATCTTCTCCTTGGCAAAGAGAAAATTTACTATTCGACTATATCCGCAGTTTCTTCGTTCATGATAAGTACACATATGTCCACACATATATGACATATATGATATATCATATATGCGTTGGATCATATGTGCACAGTGCCAGCAGTTAAAAAGACTATAGTAAGTAAAGTAAGATTCCGAGTAAGATCAGATTCTTAATTATCTATATCCAATTCATAACAATTGAAATATTGAACTCAAATGGAATCTTAGTTCAATCTCACAATTTGATTGAAATGTAGAACCTAGATGGAATCTTAGTGGGTCTCATAAGTTGAATTTCTTAGAAGCATTGCAATCTTCAGATCGGGGAAATACCAAAAAAGCTCTAAAAATGAGAGAATTCATGATAATTATCAGAGACTAATCTAATCTATAATGTACCAGAAAATACAATATTTTTGTTACTCGACCAACCATCAGAAGAAACAATTACAACGGGTACACTAATCAGACAGATTAATGAAGTTGCAACTAATGCAAAAACAACTACTTAGAAAGCAATAGTCATGTTTGTAATACTCCAAACTGCCAATAAATAAACTATATCATTTGATTCCTCACTTAGTCAAAATTGTAAAGCTATGGGTAAGAGATAAGAAGCTCAACAAACTCTTGAAATAGTTGAAGCTAACTTAAGTAAAGCTGAGGATAAGAGACAAGCACTTGAGACAAATCTAGTTCTTAGACGAGCTAGGACACAAGTATAAGTTATCAAGGTAATTTCTTCTTAGTAGTCAATGCATTCAATCAAAATAAAAAGATTTCTTTATTATATACTACACACCACATCTTGATTCCACAAAATGACCACACTGAAGTCTAATTTGATTAATCTGATGATAGAACAGAACGAAAAAAAGAGGATGAGTAGAAAAACTTATTAGATACCATGGAATCCGGTATCTAATAAGTTCTACCTACTATTGGATTTGAAACAATGAGTCCCGCCATATGAAAGCAATACTCTAACCACTAGGTTAAGTAGATCATTTATCACCAAAAAAATGGTCTCCATTACTTCGATGGATTATATGTTAAATATGTTTTCTAAGCAATATTAATCTTTTAACAGTAAACATAAATAGATGAGAAAGTTATCATGTGAGATTATGAGATAATTTTTTGACAAGAATATGTTTTTATATTAAAATGGTTATGACAAGGGCTATAGCTCAGTCAGGCAGAGCACCTCGTTTACACATGTGCCAATGTTTTTCAAATGAGCTCATTATGCAATGACCGTAATTAATCTTTTTGAGAAGTCGATGTCTTATGCTGTAGATTCAAGAGAACAAGAGAAAAGTAGCCTGACAAATTTTGTTTAATCCGGTTCAAGTGCGAATTCCGATGCTAAATCAAATAGAACCTACCATTATAAAGTAAATGCTCAGCTCATTCAATGCCAGACATAATGAGTATACGGATCTCAAAAGAATCTCTTTTCGTCTTATGAGCTTTGAGGTGTATGAAGTCTCATATTTTACAATTGTAGTGGAGCAATAGAGACTGCATTTCATTTAGGTTCATCTAGGTCCGAAGACGAACTTAAATAAAGGTCACCTTTCTTTGAAACACTTTGGTATTGCTTCTAAATTGTCATGGCACAAAAGCTGCTTCACTAGGCCAACTTTTACCGAGTTATCCTTGTTGTTATTATTATTTTTCTTAAAATAAGTGAATCTTGTGAAATTTTACGGAATGCATAGAGAATCTCATATCAAAATCAAATTAAATATTTCCGATCCTCATAATTTGGCAAATTCCTTTGAATTAATTGAAACTTCAACAAGATCTTGTCTTCTGTCAGTATTTTGGATGGCTTTTTGTTTTTCTAGATGCAGGCGATTTTATTTAATCAGCTCTATCCAGTGTTAAGCTCTAGAGTTTTGTGGCCTTTGGCTTGCTTGTGACTGATGTGGGACTATACTGCATAGAAACGAAATTTGGTATTTTCCATATATCAGGGCTATTTTCATTGCCTCTGAATTCATAATTAAGTAGACTATTCAATACTTTATTTATTGAATCTTTTTTTATTGGAACTTGTAACTTCACTAAATTGTGTCATTATACTGTATATTTGTGAAAAAAATTCGGTATGATATCACATAAATATAGCCGAATAATTATTTTGAATAGTTATTATAATTTTTAGTATTCATCTTTTTCTAGATGAGGTGCATTATTGCAGTTATGAAAGTATATATCTTTTTCTAGATGAGTTGCATCATTGCAGTCATGAAAGTATGTAACTATTTTATTTCTGGTATTATACTTTACGGTATAATTCATTCCTTATATCTAAGTTTTGTAATGCAGAATGATGAAAGTTATGACCACCTAGCATACTGCTTGTCCAATACAACTGCACTGTTATTTTTGTTGCAAAAGAGTTTAAGAGCTGCTGGTAGTGCTCCACGCAGGAAAGCTCCCCCACCAACTTCACTATTTGGGAGGATGACACAAGTATGCCTTTTTATTTCTTTGCACTACTTACCTGCTTGTAGTCATGTTTGTGCGTCTCAGAAACTCACTATTGTCATTTATTTTATTTATTGGATTCCTTTGCTAAGGGATTCCGGTCTTCTCCATCTTCTGCAAACCTTGCTTTGGACGGCCTGGATTTGGTGGTGCGACAAGTTGAAGCAAAGTATCCTGCTTTACTTTTCAAGCAGCAACTTACAGCTTATGTGGAGAAGATATATGGAATTATTCGGGATAATATGAAAAAGGATTTGACACACTTGCTTACGTTGTGTATCCAGGTATGCTCAGATCTATTTGTTATTAGTCATGACCAGACCCCTCATTTGTGACCTTAGACAATGTTAAGCCTTTTGAAATCACTGTTCACCAAGGGAAGAACATCTGAACCAAAAACATGCATATATAATGCATTTAAAATTGTAGGACAGCATTTTTTTTTGGTGTAATTTAAATTTTGATGATTGAGTAATAATTTTGAATCAATTTGAGGCATCCGTACAACAGATAGAGTATGTTTAATGTAAATCTAGCATATTATAAATAAATTAACAACTCGTTTTGATTCTAAATTAGAGGAAACTATATCGCCATTGGGTGCAAGATCAATCTACAATGAACGTAAGCTAAATGTTTTTATCCTCGGTTAAGTAGAGTCATCTACCTCCTCATTGGCCAAGTTAAAAAGGAGCGAAAAATGTAAAAAAAAAGGGATTTCTGAACAAATTCTGAAGCATAAGACCTCTCTTCTTAACTTAGAGGAATCGAAAACTAAACCTTGCTTTCAAATTTTAAATTGGAATATGACTCCTCGATGGAAACTCATAATTTCAGATGTACCCTTTTACCAATTTTATTATTTTTTTCACACTCCAAATATATTTTTAATTGGATAAAATGTAGAAAGCTTCAACAAAAATTAAATAAAATTTGAATAAAAAGGAAAATTTACCATTGAATCAAGTCAGAAGGTTTATCATATTTGCTGCCTGTATTTTCAATTTTAAACCTAAATAAATCATTCCCACGAATCGAACAATCCTTTGGTGAATCTTCTAGAAATTCTCATGGCATTCTTAAAAAATTCAAGATTAAGTTCGATCTTTGAATACCGAGTTTAAACCCTAACCAACTCTTGATTGATGCGAGTAAATTGGCATTATAAAACATGCCAATACACATACATTCCAATTTGATTGGAATAGCTTGCAAATGCATTTTTTTTCTTTTTAACCATTTCTAAATTTTTGTCAAGGGGATCCCAAAGAGCCTCAGCTAATCTAAATTGCCATGATGCCCCTTTAAGGTGGCAAAATTATTGAAATAACTTTTCAAGTCCTAAATTACCATGATACCCCTTGTGCCTTATTACATGTAAGGTAATAATCTAATTGATCAAGCTTATAGATCAAGGATTCGGGTTTGAGATTTTTTATTCTTAGTTTATTCAAGGGTTCCTAATGAGCCATCACCATTATATGTTATGGTAACATATGTATTATGTCAAAATTAAACCTGATTATAATCACAAAGTCTTAAATATATATGACCTTTTTTTATACTCAAATTTATAAGTTCCATTTTTAGGCCTTCCTCGTTCCCGAGTTTGCAAAGTCTCCCTTGTGTCTTCTTATAAATGTATGCCTTAATTTATTTGGTCATCACCAAAAATTTGCCATCAAATCAAGTTTCACTCACGAGCTTACCTTGCCCTTGTGGTTGCAAGTCCCATTTACGGGTATTATAAATGTAAACCCAAACCAAATTGCCTAGGTTGGTATATTGCTAGTAAACCCATTAATTCAATCTAGTCAACCCAATTAATTTTGATAGATATAAAGCAAAAAAGCCTGTTAAACCATACATAACTCTCGGCTCTTCTCAGAAATGAAAGATCTTACCTTAAGTTGAGTTTGCTGCATAGATACAAAATATAGGTACAACAAAACTTCTTTTGGATATAAGCCACAACCTCACTAATTGGGCTCACACAGCAACCAAGTTTATTGGGCTCAATTAATAGGTATTCCAAAGGATACAAGAGTCAAGCCTCCATCGAGTTTATAGCAATTGCTTACGGCCCATAAATACCAAAGTTGGGCCAACTTTCGTGTTAATATGCCACTCAACTAAACTTGCACTAGTGCTCATGCTAACAAGCTTGTCAACCAAACTTGTGCTACGCAACACATTTCCATGAGATGAGGTTAGTCTTGATGGCAAAGTGGGTGGAAGTTAGCTTTCGCTACTTGCTGAATTGATAAGTTTGTAGGACTATTGTCTGAGATGATTAGGGAGAAGATATCACAGTGGGGCAAGATCTTTTGATTTTTATGATTTTTTTTTTTCATGTTAATAAGGCTACAAAATTTCGGAAGATATTATATTGTAGCCTGACAATTTGCGTTGCACACCCTAACAACTATCATAGCAGCGTGTGACATAATGGGGGTTAAGAAAGAAAACCAAAGATTGGGAAAGTTATCTGCGAGGAAATGTTACCTTGCTCACACTCAAGTGCCATCAATTAGCCCTTTTTAAAAAGAAGGTGCTATTTCGAAGTAGGGGAGTGAGGGAAAGTTATCAATAACCATTTTTTATGTTTTATGCTCTGAAGTGCCGTTCAATAACTTTTAATTTTTACATTTTTACCACTCAAATTTTTCATATCACATAAAAATGCCACTATTTTAACTTCTGAAAAATGAAATACCTTTTTTATTTATAAGTAAGGCGGCATTTATGTAAAAAAATAAAATTTAGGTGTTATATATATGAATACGTTAGAATTAAGTGTTATGTATGTAAATCTTCTTTTTTTTATGCTCTGAAGTGCCTTCTATCCTAGTTCACAGTTCTTCACCTGTAGAAACTCCTACTTTCAATCTCATTTTAATATATTGGACAGACATAACTAAACTTGAACAACTTTATTGCTTGCATAAAAGGCACCGAGAACTGCGAAGGCAAGCATGCTCAGAGGATCTAGCCGCTCTGGATCATTCGGTCACTCAGGTCAAAATTCTCACTGGCAAAATATAATTGAAAGTCTCAATAACCTTCTTAAGACATTGCAGCAGAACTATGTGAGTTTTGTGGATCTTTTTTTTGTGCTGAGTCTGCAGACTGTTCTGAACTAGAAATCCATACTAATTTCTTTCCAATTTCAGCTTCCTGCTGTTCTAATTCAGAAAGTCTTCACTCAGATTTTCTCATTCATTAACATGCAACTCTTCAACAGGTAATTCCTTAATTCAGGTTGCTGGCATTTTCATCTCTTTCAGGATCTCAAATTATCTTTCTTATAAAACTTACTCTTCTTTAGTCTCCTACTCCGTCGTGAATGCTGTTCCTTCAGCAATGGGGAGTATGTAAAAGCTGGCTTAGCTGACCTGGAGTTGTGGTGTGCTCAAGCAAAACCAGAGGTAACGGGGTTAACATTTATGCTTGAGAACTATATGATTTGTAGTATTCATGGACAGTGTTTATTCAAGATTAAAAATTGGTTTTTTCTTTTAAAAAAATTATATTTTACAGTATGCTGGTACGGCCTGGGAAGAACTGAAGCATATAAGACAAGCTGTTGGATTCTTGGTAAGAAATTTGCAAAATTAACCATTAAATAACCATGTTATTCTGGTAGTCTAAGAAGTCAACAAATTTAATGTGCATAATTCTCATTTTTAATAGAAATTTTTATTCAAGTGTTGCCTTTGAAATAGATAAAGAAAAGTAAAACATGACAGAAAAGACTCAACATAAAAATTTAGTGTTCAAGCTGAAATTAGTGGGAATGATAAGACACGTGTTTTTCTGAAGCGTAGTTATTGCTATAAGATGGTTAAAAGAGGTTTTGTAAGAATAAAATATAAAATATAACAATACATAGAAACGGCCCAACATGAAAACTTACTATTAAAGTTAAAATTAGTGGAAATAATACGACACATGCTTATTCGATGTGGAATTATTGCTATAAGACGGTTAAAGGGTGTTAAACGAACGATTTCTCGCTCTCATAGCAATATTGTACATGTGCCAAGGTGCTTGAGACAATGGTACAAGAGATCGTGCATATGTGAATAAGGTGATAATTTTAATCCATTTAGCGTGATGATAGTTTGATTGCAAAGTAGATTTTAATTCATATTATGTTAGTGAGCTTATTGAGGAAGATTTCTCATCTTCTTTGCAACAATTCATTAGGCAGTTTTCAGTGATGAAGAACCAATACCCTAATAATTTGTCATGAAATATCAGAGGAGAAGCTAAAATTTTTTAGTGAAGATTGACTTGCTAGATTTTGGCGCACAGATGGATCCGAACGAATTTATTGAGTGGTTCCACACAGTGGAACATGTTTTTGAGTACAATGATGTCCCACGGGACAAAATGATAAAGCTAGCCTTCATTAAGTTAAAAAAGAATGCATCTCTGTGGTGGAAAATTTTGAAGCACATATGGCAGTGTTGTTAAGGGAAAAGTGAAATCACTGCTTGATCCAAAGATGAAACGAGATATGCAGCGCAAGTACCTAATAGCCCATTACAGGTAGAACATGTTGTTGAGACTATCACTTAATACTAGAATGATCTTTTTGTATACGAGTACACAACTGAGTTTGAGCAACTTATGTTGAAGTGTGAGCTATAGAGCCTTGGGAGAACACAATAGCTAAATATCTCGAGAGATTGAGAGCATTTATTGACAACATAGTATTGTTACAATCCTATTGAACATTGCAGGGTATCTAGATCTTAACCTTAAAGATGGATAGAACACAATAATATCAAGTCCACACCAAATAGAGTTCATTCATCAGATCAGGCAACAAGAGTATACCCTGGAGAACACTAGAGCAGACTTGGCTCGAGGAGAAGCTTGTATAGAGTAAAGAAAAAGTGGAGACAGTTTTTTCTCCCATATTCATCGTAGACAGAAAATGTTTCAAGTGTCACAATCTCACTGGTTTTGGCACATTGCATTTGATTTTCCAAATAGAAATACGATATATTTCACCGAACAGGGTGCAATGGTGGAGGCAGATGGTAACCCACCCCAGGGGAAGGAGAGGAATACTAGCTGCCCGCAGGGTAGGGAGAGATGTTGGTAATCCAGTGAGTCCTTGATATTGAGTATATGAGAGAGCAACAAGAGCTCAATCACAATATATTTCATACATGCTGCACCGTGAAGGGAAAGGTGTGACACTTCATTATAGATTGAGATAATCGTGAAAATGTGGCATCTACACATATTGTGGATAAATTTAGCCTCATTACTCGAGCATTTCCAATCATATTCTTTGTCATGATTGAAGAAAGGAAATAAGATTATAATTGACAAGAGGTATCTCATGGAGTTTTTATGAGAGACAATTTACAGGATCAAAATTTATATGATGTCGTGCCTATGGATGCGTGTCACATTCTTTTGCGCCGATCATAGAAATATGACTAGTGTACACTTATCAAAAGCACATATTCACTTATCAAGGAAGGCAAGTGTATTGTATACCATCTAGTTTGGAATAACATCTCAATGTTGATTTTTTTTTGTGTGAGAACAGAAGAAGGAATTGTGGGAGAGAGACTTGGTGTTAAATTTATTTTGAATTATTAATGTTAATAATTTTTTTTACTTTAATATCTAATCTTTCTATCATGTTTGTATAACACTTTTTACTTTATAATTGATGTTATAATGGTAATATGTTTTTTATTTTGTATAAGTAGGTTCTTATTATATTACAATGTTAATAGCTTAGGATCTGAGTACGTTACTTCTTACTTTATATTTTAATATTAGTACTGCTTCCTACAATTTATTGATTCTATGGCTTGCGTTTGGTCGCGCGGATGAACAACATCTTAATACCTAATTGTGTATTTTAAAACCATGTTTTGAATAAACCTTCTAATTTTAAATTTGAAACCATAAGAAATTAATTTGTGAATGAAGAGATCAAAGGGTTGTAATGTTAGATTTAAGAAAATTCAGAAAGGTATCCAAATTGACTTGCAATCTTCTAAATGATTCCAAAATTTAATCACCTTCACTTTAACCTAGTTCCATTTTAGTAGTTATTGACTGAAGAAATTATTATTCTCATTTGCCTAACCTCACTTCATTACCAAAATCCACAACCTAAGATTTTTGCATTAATTCTTCAATTTGAGCATAACTGTGTACATTTTCTGGGAAAATTCAATCCTTCTTAATAGCAGTAAAATGCCGAGAACATCTTATTGAAGCAGCATAAAAATTTATTTTTTACCTGTTTCTCTTGTCACGTGAATTTTTAAGAAATTTGCAGTTAGTGGCATGATACAGAAAGTTTTTACTGTTGCTTATAACATGCAAAACTTTTCTGCTGTCGTGCAGGTTATATTTCAAAAATACAGAATTTCCTATGATGATATAGTCAATGATCTCTGCCCGGTACTATTATCCTTATTCTACTTTTGCATCATATGCAACTATACATAAATATTGTTATTTTTAAGACTCATGCCTCATTTTTGTCCTGTATTTCTCTCTGCAGGTATTAAGCGTTCAGCAGCTTTATAGAATATGCACGCAGTATTGGGATGACAAATATAACACCCAGAGTGTCTCTTCAAATGTAAGTGTTATAAACATAACGCACATATATATATATATATACACACACATACATACATACATATACATAGTATTTGGTGGTGTAATTTTTATAATCAATACAAATGCCTCTCATCCTCCATTACAGGTCCTATCCAGCATGAGGATTCTGATGACAGAGGATTCGAATACAGCAGTAAGCAACTCATTCTTGCTGGATGATAATTCCAGGTAAAAGTTCCTTAGTCACTGTTGGAATGATGGAGCGGCTTCCCCAAAATTTTTTCTACTCTTCAATATAATATAATACTATGGAAATTTTGCTCCCTAAAATTTAGTATTTAAGGGAAATTTAGATACTCCATAATTCTGATGTATTTGCATATCTAACACCTACAGTTTAATATTTACACTTATAACACCTTAGTATCATAAAGCAATGCATGTAAATATGAATGGCTAGATGTTAGATATGTAAAGACATTAAGAATTTTATGGTATGCATGTATGTAAATGCCCCAATATTTAATAATAATTATAATATTAACCAAGTAGTTTGCCACCCATTCTTTTTCCTTAAATTTTGATTCCGCCACTGCTCGTAATCATCCCCTGCCGACATTTTTAAGATCCACGAGCTCTGAATGATTGATCTGTGATTCAGTATACCCTTCTCCGTCGACGACATATCGAGTTGCTTGCAAGAAAAGGAGTTTGCAGACGTGAAAGCAGCAGAAGAGCTTCTTCAGAACCCAGCCTTCCATTTTTTACAGGACTGAGAGCCCCCTGAAGAATGCTCCCCAACTCCCTGATCCTCCAGGCTCTCTGTGTAAATCCGCCAACCCATTCTTCATCATATCTTACATTTGTTCCCCATTTTTAATCTTAAATTTTGTCTGTTATATTCTTAATTTTTTTATGCACCTTCGACGACAGCAAAATGTAAAATCATTCTTTGTTGGTTGTAAAATTCTTTTTATGACCGCTGCTAGGCTTTTACACCCAAAAGCATATGGTATATATATATATATGGTTTTGTTCAGTTGTAAGCAGATGGATACCATTATATTTGTCCGATTAATATAATGATATGATGGAAGCAATTTATGGTTCTTATGTTCTGTCTGAATTTCTGATTATTTTTTGCTATTCATAGCCATCAAATTTAGATGGTACATTCTAATTTCTAATCTATATATTATATGGAGATATGTTTGAGATTTGTGGAGTTCGTAGAGAGCTCTAATTAGAAGGCCAAGTTGAGGAGGAATGGTAACCACTAATCTTTAATTTCTAATTTAATTGACATGAGTGAATGCCAAGTTACCAACAAATATATGTTAAAAATAATTTTTTTTTATCATGGCAATTCATAAATGCGGCGGCATTTTTAAAAATGCCGTCTAACCGTTTGGTTTGCGTTTTTTGAAAACGTTGTGTGCTGCGTTTAAATTTTTTACACTAAACGCAGATTGCGGGTCGACCCCCGCGGTCGACCTACGGGTTGAGTATGAAGAGAAGTTTTACTTTTTTTTTGTCATAAATTTAAGCTTAAACTATGCTTGTATAATTTATATTTTTACTATTTTTAAAAAAGTATTATTTTTATATTATATTTTTTAAATATAATTTTAAAATTGCCTTACTGAGTTTTTTCATAATAAGAATTTAGTCATTCTTTTAGGGTTTAGGGTATATATATATATATATATATATATATATAAGATTTTTTAGAAACAATGCCAATCAACAAAATAATATGAAGTTTATAAACTCCATTAATACAAATATGAATATTTGGATCGATAAAATCAGTCTTAACAACAGTAAGACCAATGTTTTCACTTATACCTATACCCCTAAATACATGAGTTCAACAGTTTAAGAAAAAATCACCTCAGTGATTAATTTATAAATATCAATGTTCCAGGTGGCTTGTATTAGGTCTGTCAAAAAAGCTCGTTGTTCGCGAACAGTTAGTGTTCGATTCGTTGATGAATTCGTGTTCGATTCGTTCAATAAGTAAACGATACGAACGTAAACAAATTTTTTTTTTCGTTCAGTTAGTTAAATGAACCTAACACGAACAGTGATATAATCACCTCAGTGATTAATTTATAAATATCAATGTTTCAGGTGGCTTGTATTAGGTCTGTCAAAAAAGCCCGTTGTTCGCGAACAGTTAGTGTTCGATTCGTTGATAAATTCGTGTTCGATTCGTTCAATAAGTTAAAGAGACGAACATAACAAATTTTTATCGTTCGGATAGTTGAACGAACCATTTATGATATTTTAAAAAATTAAATTTTATAAATTATAATATATAATAAATTAATAAAAATAATATATTAATATACTATATTAATAATATACTAATATAAATATTATATATTTATATAATTAATATTAGAGATTCACGAACAATTTCAAACACGAGCTTATTTCAAACGAACCGAACACAAACATAAACATGAACACGACCACAAGCTCTGATCGTTCGTGTTCGGTTCGTTTACACCCCTAGTCTGCATGCAATTTTCCTAATTAAAAAGCAAATTGGAACAGAGGCGAAAAGTTCCAGATTAATAATTAAAAAAAGGGTCATTTACATACATACCACACAATTCTTATATACATATCTAAGATCTAAACTTTCATATTTACATGCAAAACACTCAAATCTTCAATATTATAAGTTTATGACAAAAAAAAATGTTAAAATATAAACATTAAACTTTACATGTAAATAAAAGAGCTTCTGCTGGTTTGGTAACTAGTCTTTCAGTTTGATTTTTTTTTTTTTTTCAATCATAGGGGTAGTATAATGTTAAAATATAAGATGTTTTTCCAACAATGAGAACAAAATTTAGTCCCATATAACAACAACAGAGATAGAAGCTTGGCAGGACTAGTATGGGTTAAGTTTATGGTCTACCCTAGTAAGAAAAAGGTAAACAAATTTACACAAACATAGCTCATATGGTTAATTTATAAGCGCTACTCGACGACATTAACCATACATCCATCAAGTATAACCAAGCTTCAATAGTTTTGCTTGCCCAAATTTGGCTTCCAAGATTTTTTTTCTAAGCACAAATGATGACCTCAGGTAGCCTAAAAAAACAAAGTTTTTGAAAGCCAAACCAGACATTTAATACTTCCAACTATGGTTGACTCAATAGTTGAATACGATGACTTAATAACTATTCACCAATTCATCCACAAGTTTCATGCAAAATCAATTTTGGAGCTTGATTGAACTAGCGGGAGGACCATGGTTGAACTGATCAAATTGGTCAATTCAATTGTCAAAACCATGCTTAAATGGTTCGTATAAGAGGCATGGGACATAATCTACGAGCATTTTCAATGTTCATTCAAAGAATAAATGTCAGAACTACATAAAGAATAAAAAACCATACCAAATTTAGCAGGTGGCAGGAAGCACTCTCTACTTCACTCCACTAATGCAATTTAAAGCTTTTTGAATAAGATATGATCTTCTTAGCTCTTGCCATGCTACACCTGGTAAGCTCTCATGCTAAAAAATTTTAAAATCACTTCCAAGTGAACCCTAGGTTTTGCCCCATAGGTAAAGTGGAGCTGAAATCTACAAAAAATCAGTTCCATCCCAACCTAAGTTTTAGGTTTTGGATCTGGGAAGGTTTTCAGAATCTGCGCAAGCATAATAAAACAATAATTTTGTAGAAGCTACAGAAAAAAAAAATGTTAGAAAAGATGAATTATTGTTTAAAGAGTGTGGTACCTGATATAAGTACCAAGAAGCAAAAGCATCTGTAGCAGCATAGTGAAGTTGGTTCTTTGATAGTTCTCTGGCTTCCCAATTCCCCATTCGTATTTTTTTGGATTTCGATAACTGTAGAGAAAATTGCAGTTTTGGGTCCTAAGGTAATTATCAGGATTATAATATGGATAATAAGTTGAAAATAAAAAGCTTTTCTTCTGCAGTTTATCTCATGAAGTTTATGAACTTGCAAGGATAGAAAGCCCTGAACATTTGTGCTTGAAATGATAAAGGAAGATTTACATGCATACCACACAATTCTTATGTATTTACATAATTAACATCCAAAGTTTGAGATTTACACTTAAAACACCTTTGTGTCATGAGTATTTCACTCTGAAGAAGATAGTGATGGTCATATTTTGATGTGATATTAAAGATTTCAATGTTACGCATTGATGCAGTAGCGCTCCGACGAGGGAGTCATGTGAATGAAGCAGTGGCTCTGCTGCTATACTTAGATCGAACCGTCTAGGTTTTGTCCTTGTTGAGGAGTCGGTCAATTCGCTTGAGCCACTCCTAGTTATCATATTATTATATATTTATTTTTGTAGGAGTTCAGGGTTAGTTTTTGGTGTGAGTTTGTTTTGGCCAGCCGCAATGCCCGGTTTCTCCCTTCGAGGACTATATCTGAGAGTTTAGGTGATCATCCTGCTGTATTTATCTCTCAAGATGGTATTTATCTTCTTTATCCCCATCCAAATCCTCCATACACACCTCTTGATGCAGCCGCCCGCAACTGGATTCCGATTGCTGTTTTCTGCAATGCAAGCAGCTGCCATTGCAGTTCCAGCCCTACACATTCACTGCCGCAACTGTTCCATCGCCCGCCCGCTGTTTCGACCGCTGTCCAGCCATCCGTATCAGTGCCGCCACCTGGAAAACAACACACCTGCTGTTTTCTTGCTGTCCTGCCATACCCTACCGACTGCCACTCCCAAAAACCCACTCCAACTACTGTTATACTTCATCCCAATGCCCCGGGCAGCCACACACTGCTGTTTGTGCCTTTCCAGAGTTTGAGATTTACACTAAAAACACCTTTGTGTCATGAGTATTTCACTCTTAAGAAGATAGTAATCGTCATATTTTGATGTGAATGGTACGCAGATACAATCTTAATTGCGTGTGTTTTGTGTATATTGCTATTTCTATTTCCTTTAATGTGATTGTATTCCCTAATTCAGAATTAAGCAATAATATTTGATTTTCCTATTAGTGTTTGGTTTAACTCCGGTATCACGAATGTTAGGTGTTGTAATATTTGATTTTCCTATTAGTGTTTGGTTTAACTTCGGTATCACGAATGTTAGGTGTTGGATATGTAAATACATGAGAATTGTGTGGTATGTATGTGAATGTCCCTAAAATAAAATAAGCTAAAATGGAAATGAGGATTATGAACAAAATAGTATTACAAGAGATTTCTTATTTATAGTTCATACGACATGAGGAAAATATAATATAAAAAGGATGGCCCAATATTACTACATTCCTATAATTGAATTCACCCAATCAAAGTTACTCTTACTTATGGTCTAAGTTGGATAAGGTTCACTAGCAACCTGATGTCGAATCAGAATCAATCCTTAAATTTAAATATTGCTTCACATTCCTTCAAATAAATCAGTAGCAACTACTTGAAAAACCTTCATTAGTGAAATTTGCAGTCATATGCTAGAGTAAAAGGTCAATGTAAATATAAATAGAGATAAATTTCAACACTATATCATGCAAATGTAGCCTTATTTATTTAAGTAAAATATCAAAATAGTCCTCTGACTATTTATATGGGACCACTTTAGTTTGAACAACTATTAGTATTAAATTACTTCTTGCTAAAATTGTCCTTACTACTTTAGCGCACATTAAGAGAGTCTAGGGGCTACAATGTAACTACAATGACCCATACAAAGAGTCAAGGGACCATTTTGACACATTTCTCTTATTTATTATTGTAGATAATATCTTGTGTATGATATTTTAGGTAGCTCAGGCTGGATATAAATGATGGTTTGGTTAATTGAATTACCTGTTTGCATGTAAGCATCTCCATTAAAGAGGAAAGCCCCCAATTCTTGGAAGCTCCGCCAAGCTTGAGATTTGCAAATCTTGACAAATCTACTAATGATGCAACATGAATATTGTGCTCCGATGAGATCTTTGCCGCATCATTGGCTATTCCAATTCCAACCTTTGTAAAACCAAAAATAACATATAAAACCATCGGTAGTAGAATAAATTCACTATCATGCAAAATAGATTTCTTAATTTATAGTTGCAAAAATACCTTGAATGATGAAGGATCCTCCAAAAGTGATTTCAACATAGGAGGTATACCAGAATGAATGATGTGCATGATATAACAATCAGACCAATCCATGCATATTTGCAATACTGCAGTTTTGTTAGGTGTTTTCCCTGCAAATCTCAGATTATTTTTTAATGAAATAATAACTCAATTTTAATAAAAGAGATGGCACCATGGAACCAACCTTTTATGAAATTAGGTTTCCACTCTAAATCAAATCCAAGTGAGATTTCATCAGCATTATGTCTCGAATGTTCAATTTTATCCAAAATCTCTTTTGTAGATTGTTCCACCTCGGAAGAGGTCCTACTGTATACAACGCGTCCACCAAAAGTAAATACTTGATGTCTTGCTTTTAAATTAGCTGTCAATATTAACAAAATAAATATACATGCAATAACTAAAACAACTGGATTTAGAAGCATCTACAACTCCACTGTGTTAATCAAATATTTTAAAAAATGAAGCTGCTAAGCAACTAAAATGCAAAGATTAAACACTGAAGATCTACCAAAAGTTCAGTGGGGAAACCAAAAACTCAAACAATTGAAGGATTGATCCAATACAGATTCAACCTACTAAGAAGCAAGTAGCAACAGATTGGGCCATATTAAAGCTTTTTGGGGCGTTTACATGCATACCACACAATGAAAACCTGCAATAAATTCCTCAAAGGCAGACAACAACAATGAAAATCTTTCTGAATCATACATTAATTCTGGATACAGAGATTAGCGTAATCTAAGAACAAAAGAATAAATGTCTACGAATAATACAACAAGATGAAGATGAGATAAAGCAGTAAATTCACATACAACTTTATCATATATAAACGAATTTACTTTCTATAATTCATGGCTGAATAGACACTGCATCATTCGTTTAAACAAGGAACATCATCCCTATATTTCTTTCAACACCCTGAGCAATATTCCATGCTACTAAAACTACAATTGAACCCAGATTTTTTTGGGATAGTCAAATTTTCTAATTTTATTTTGAATCTTATCCCTTTCATTAATTCACAACAAGCATTATAAGAAATTCAGTATTAGTATTTTTCCTTCTTTTTTACATACAGTCATGTCATGAATGATATGCATTTGTGTTCATGAAGAATTAAAATTTGATCGGCTCCAAGAAAGTTGATTAAGTCCCACTCCTTTTCATCTCTTCTCTCCTGAATCTCAGTGAAGAGAATAGCTCCGTCTTTCTCTCTCTCACATTCCTATCTTCTTTTAATATTTTTCCTTTTTTTTTTTTCATTTTATGTTAATAGTTTAGATTTTCATTCACATCCCATAAACCGTAACCCCAAATCATAAACCTTCATAGGCCCCCTTCTGTTTCCAGGCCGCACCAAGAAGGGGAGAAAACCCTAGAACGGTTTCAGAGGAGTACTTGAAAAAGAGTAAATTTCATATACATGATGGACATCCAATCTATTCCTACAATAATCTATAATAAGAACGTAAATCTGGCGATTTCGGATCACTCTAACTTCCTGCTAGTAGAAATTACAACTTCTAAAATAGATTCAAAGTATATAGAAGGAATTAACATTTGAGTCGAAGATATGAACCTTGACAAGGTATCGGAGAGAAATTAGAGAGTAGATTCCTAGGGCAAGGGGACCGATCAAGCTTGCTAATGAGATCGCCGTTTTCAACGCAGCCAGAAGGAGAAGCTGCGCTCACCCAGCCAGGGAGTCGGCGGCGCTGAGATGAGGACTCCTCGATATTGAAACCGGAGCTTTTCCGCTTAGCAACGGCGTAGGAGGACTCGATGGACCGGAGCTCCTCCTCGGCGTCTTCGTTCCAATCGGAATCGAGATCCAGAGAAGTCTCCGATCCCACTGCATCTCTCTCTGGAGAACTTATTAGAGCACACTGTATATTCGGTCAAAGCCCATTTAGCAGCAGACTCATTGATTGAGTTGTGAGTCAACTCGTTTAAAAAATATTTTTAAAATATATTTAAATTTAAAAAATTCAATATTTATAATAAGTAATTTCTTATTGATTATCATTATGCGTGTTAATTCTTCTTTTTATTTTATTGTAATATTAATTTGAATAAATATTGATTTTTCTCTTTCATAATATACAATTTGGTTACTGACCTAGTTCGAACTCGTTGAATCAAGCTCGAACTTGAGGTGGAACTCAATTAATTAATCAAGCTCAAGTTCTCACTTAAAGTGGTTCGAGCTTGACTTGACTCTTGTACACCCCTAGAGCTCAAACAATTCTTGATGGGAAATATATATATATATATTTCTCTTTTTTCTTTTTTGTGACCAATTTTTCTCTTTTATAAAACAATTTTTTTTTAATTTAACTATCTCGATGAACTCATTTTTTGCATCATCCTCATTATAAGTTTGAGATATTGGATCGGATTGTAAGATGCCTATGAAGCAAGGGTAGATGATCATTGGCATGTTCTCACAAGCACAAGATCAATGAAAGGATGAATAAAGCAACATTCCACATTGCTTGTTCTCCTTCCACTAATCATGATATTATACAAAAATAAAGATATTAAAATGTTGAAGTAATATTAGTTATTAAATCATCAATAAATTTTTTAATTATAATTAAACTCTTACAATCATATTAATAATTAAAATGAAATCTTTATTCAAAAAAATGTTGTCATCTCAAAATTTTAAGCTTAACTTTCTCATTTCATATTCAAATTATAATTTTTATATATACAACAACAATAAGTCTTTATCCCACTAAACGGGGCTGCATGAATCCTTTTTCTCTATTGCATCCTATTGAATATCATATTTTCATTTAATTCTAATAAATTAAGATAATTTTTTTATACAATTTTACCAAGTTTTTCTAGGTATACTCCTGTCTTTCTTAACATAAGTCGGATCCAAAACATCTACTCTCATAACCAGATCATCAGATGGTTGACGTTTAATGTGACTAAACCATATAAGACGACTCTTTATAATTTGACCGCACAGGAGAGCTACAACAACCTTACACGAATACATTTGTTTTTCATTGTCTCTAAATGTCAAGCCACTCGCCCATCTAAGCATTCCTATCTCAGCCTTAGCATTCTTATCTCAGCAACACTTAACTTAATTTTATGCTTCTCTTTTAAAGGCCAACATTATGTGTCATAGAGCATTGCAGGCCTCACCAACATCTTATTGAATTCCTTTCAATCTAAGCGGTAATTTTCTATTACACAATAGGCATGAAACATTCATCCACTTCAACCAACCTTCAACCAACCAACTTGAATTCTACCAATAACATCCCCATCTATATCACCACCACTTTGAGCCATAAGACTCGAGATATCTAAAGTGTTCACACCTTCTAATAATTTGATCCCTCATATTTACAACTCTATCAGTATAGCTGCTACTACTAAAATTACATTCCGTGTATTCAGCTTTAGTTCTACTCAAACAAAGGCCTTTAGACTCCAATGTAGACCTCCATCATTCAAGTTTTCCCTGTGCTCCTTCTCTAGTCTCTAGTCTTATCCACAAGAGGATATCATCAGCGAAAAACATACACCAAGATACATCCCCCTCTAAAGTCCAATAAGAACATCCATAACTAAAGTAAAAAGATATGGGCGTAAAGCTAGACCTTGATGTAATCCAACTGAAATAGAGAATAGAGAAATATTTGGTCAATCCTCCTTCTGTTCAAACACAAGTAACAACTCTAGCATGCATATCTTTAATAACTTGAATATAAGTTATATCAACACCTTCCTTCACTAGAACTCTAAGAAAATGTCTCTTAAAACCTTATGGTAAACTTTTTTCTAAATTAATAAAAATCATATATAAATCTTTCTTATTCTCTTTGTACTTTTCCATCAAAACTCTTAATAAATGTATAACTTCCATAGTAGACCTTCCCCCGCATAAATCCAAACTGATTATGAGAAATCTTTGTAACAGGTCTTAACCTATGTTCAATTACCCTCTCTCATACTTGTAAAGTATGACACATCAACTTAATTCCTCTATAATGTGCACACTATTGTGCATCCATTTTATTCTTAAAAATAGAGACCAAAATACTCTTCCTCCATCAGACATCTTTTTAAGTTTTAAAATAATATTAAGGAGTTTAGTAAGTCAAGAAACTCCCAAATCTCTTAAATAGTTCCACACTTCAATTGAGATATGATCAGGTCCTATAGACTTTGTACCCTTGGTTTTCTTTATAGCCTGTTCAACTTCTTTTTTACTAATACGACGATAAAAATAAAATATTTTATTGTTATTAGTAAAATTAAGATCACTAAAGTCGATCGTATTTTCAGAAACTTCAATGAAAAGTTCATCAAAATAACTCACACATCTATGTTGAATTTTTTTCTAAGAAAAACACCTTTTGATTTTCATCTTTAATACGCTTTATTTGAGTTAAATATTTACTTTTATTTTCTCTTTGTTTTGCTAATTTATACATATATTTTTTACCATCTTTAATATCTAATTTATTATAAAAATTACTAAAAGTAGAATTTTAGCATCACAGATTGTTCGCTTAAACTCCGTACTGACCATTTTATATTTCTCCTATTCTCTAAGCATTTAGATTTAAACTAATTTTTATAACTTATATTTTATCTTTGATTGCACATTTTATTCCACTACCAACTATTTTTATTTATAAAAATTTTTCATTTTGATTCTCCAAGTACATGTTTTGCCACTTATTTAATATTGTTTTTTACTTTATCCCAAATAGAATTTGCTTCTTCATCAACATCCCAAATCTCAAAATCTTGAAGTTTACTCATAAAAAAAATTTTATGTGTTTTTTAACTTATTCTGTCTAATTCTATGACAATGGTTTCTAGTATTCTTTATTTTACAACTCATCTTAAAATCCAGAACTAATAATCGAGGTAAGGTATTTAAATTTTCACTTCAAATGACCTTACAATGTTTTACATTTTTGATGATCTCTTCTTCTCATAAGGAAATAATCAATTTGTGTTTTATTAGATTGATTCTTATAAGTAATAATATGCTAATCTCTTCTCTTGAGCAAAATATTAGCAATAACAAAATCATACGTTAAATCAATATCTAATATGACTCTACCTTCTTCATTAATCACTTTGAAACCGTAGCCGTCATGAATATTTCTAAAATCTTCTACCACTCTACCAACATGTCCATTTAAATCTCCTCCAATAAAAATTCTTCCTTCAAAAGGTAACATTTGTACTAAATCTTCTAGATAATTCCTAAATTTTTCTTTAAAATCTATTTCTGAACATACTTGAAAAAACATAAGCATTTATACTATTAAAAATCTTAGCATCAACAATAATCTTAAGAGTTATAATTCTTTCTCCATTTCTATTAATTTTTACAATATTATATTTCAAACTCTTATATATAATTACTCCATTTCTTGTGCAACTTTTACTTCTATATTTCAAACTCTTATATATAATTACTCCATTTCCTGTGCGACTTTTACTTGAACCATTTAGTTTCTTGAATACATAGAATATTTATCTTTCTATAAATCATAATATCAACTAATTACATTAATTTAACTATGAGAGTACCTATATTCCAAGAACCTATCCTAAAATTAGTTTCATATACTAGCTTTTTTACCCGTAAAATATTTATCTTTCTATAAATCATAATATCAACATATTACATTAATTTAACTATGAGAGTGCCTATATTCCAAGAACCTATCCTAACATTAGTTTCATATACTAGCTTCTTTACCCACATCCGTCCGTACTGTGGAAACCTTTGCTTATTTGACACTACACCCAGACAGCGGTGTATTGACCTATGCACGCTTTCACTATATTCTGGCCATACAACATGTCGTTTCCAAAGGACGCCCTAACATTTACAGAATGATTAAAATGATTCATATCATGATTTTTTTGACATATTTGTTCTAGCTATGGACTACCTAACACAACCCTCTACTTTTCACATTCAAGGCTTCGGACCAACCATTGGCAGTGTTTAATTTCTTTTTATATATTCTAAAAAATGTTTAAATTTTCCAAAATAATTGTATCAAATCAAATGATTTGAATTTTGCATACCATTATAAAGCAAAGAACATAAAAGGAAGATTTACATACATACCATTCAATTCTTATACAGTTCCATATCAAACACCTAAACTTCGACTCTTGCCGACATGCCCGCCTTACACAAGCATGAGAAGGTGTACTTCACCTTCTACAAGTTAAAATAATAGTTTTATTTTTTTATGCGAAATGAAAGAATTGGGTGGTATAAATGCAAAACAAGTAAAGTTTAGGTGTTAGATATGTAAATACATAGGATTTGGGTGGGTATGTTCTACATCCCTCAGTCTCATCAAGCAATAACATAATGAAGAACGTTCCCTGCAAGGATGAACCATGCAACGTAGATTTTATCAAATATTCATGTTTTACATACAAATCAATACAGATTGAAATATCCAAACCGCTAATTTATAAAGTCGATTATAATTGATCAAAAAGCAGATCAAAACTTTTTTTTTTTTTTGACAATCCCTAGCAGCATAGAGCATGATACTCTGCAAATAATCAAGCTTTCGAGTTAAAACAAAACCTTAGCACCTGATCAGGCATTCTTGTTCTAAAATTGTTCTGGAGGAAACCAATGAGCATTTACAGTAATGAGGGATTGAGAAAAATATGGTGGGTTGAAGAAAAGGTGGAGAAGATCTGTCACAGAAATAGGGGAGCCATGACTAAAGTAATGGTGGCAAGCATTTTGATGAGGACATGAAGAGAAGGACCTGCAGTGTCTTTGAATGGATCTCCCACGCTGAAAGAATAGATGAATATCATGTTAAAAATAATTATTTACATTGCATAAAATAAAAAGAAGAAAGATTTACATACATACACCACACAATACCTATGTATTGACATATCAAATACCTAAACTTTATCCTTTACATATATATGCCAAGGGTTATGTCACTTTTTAAAAGTTAAAATAGTGGGGTTTTTTTATGTGATATGAGAATTGGGTGGTATTCATGTAAAAATCAAATTTTAGGTGTTAGCTAAGTAAATACATAGGAATTGGCTGTTATGTATCTAAATTCCCCAAAATAGTAGGAAGATTTACATACACAATAGCACTCAATTCTTATGTGTTTACACATCTAACACCCAAACTTCAATTTTTACATTTATACCATATCTAACACCCAAACTTTAATTTTTACATTTATACCGCCCAACCCATGCATGAAAATGTTTGTTTCACCTGTTAAAAGTTTAAATTGTGGTATTTTTTATGTACTGTGAAAGATTTGGGAGGCAAAAACATAAAAGGTAAAAAATATGAATGAAGGTTTTGGTGTTAAGATATGTAAATTCATAGGAATTGTGTGGTATGTATGTAAATGCCCACGTATGGAAGATTAACAAACATACACTCAATTCCTATGTATATACTTATCTAACACCTAAGCTTTGACAAACATACACTCAATTCCTATGTATATACTTACCTATGCATGAAAAGATGTATTTTTTCGTAAAAATTAAAATGGTGGTGTTTTTTATGTGGGATAAAAGATTTTTGTACTATAAATGTAAAAAAGTAAAGTTTAGGTGTTAGATATGTAAATACGTAAGACTTAAATGTCCCATATTCCTGCGTGTTAAGACTAAAGAAACACAGTTAAGACTTCCATGGCTTCAAAATTAAAAAGCCATTTTTATGAATATGACTTTAACAAATGAATGTTAATGACACTAACATTAATGGATGGATGGTTTCAGATCCAGAAGAGCAATGATTGAACTACAAGCAAAAGATAAAAATAGAAATATAACAAAAATATTTACACAATGCCTCAAAACATGTTTCAGTCGCAATGATAAATTGTCAACGATGAGCAGCAGAAACTGTTCTGAAGCTCGCAATCATGTTGCCGGATTATTGGTTTCAAAAATTTGTGCATTCCATAGCAAAATATAAATACAATTCTCAAGAAAATGTCAACTATCAAAGAAACTGAAAATAAGAAAGCCATAGAGCAGGCTTTGAAGCAAGTTCACAATTTGTCCAATACTGAATTAGGTCTCAATGGAAGTTGAATCTTCGAGCAATAAAAATACATTACCATTTCCTTTTCAGTTATCCTTACGAAAGTTAAATTAACGGGGAATTACCTGATGCGGTGCTAGGGGACTGAACCGACCAAGGGCTGAACCAGGGGAAGGCTTGTTGAACCCAGCAGGAGGCAATAGCGGGGAGGGTGGCCATATGCTCAGGGCCAGGGTGCTGCCCAAGGGGAGGGACCATCCCCTTCCTATTTATCTACTAAATATATGTGTTATTTTCTGTTTTAGGGTTAGTTGCTTTGAGATTTATGTTTGAATAGCCTCCGACGTCCCGTTTTCCCTTCTAGGATTGTATCTAACGGCGAGAAGGTGCTCTGACTACAACTTGCCCTGAGGTGATGTGTATCATTCCTTTTATTACTTGCTACCACCCTTCCCTGTTCGCTGACAACACCACACCCTGCCCCCCACAACCACCACCCCCACACAAATACCAGCCTTCCTCACTGCCGCTGCCCTCTTCCCTACCCTCCACAACTCCAGCCTACCAACCTACAATACGGCAACCCCTGTTGCCTCTATCCTTCACCTCCCCCTCCCCTTCCTGCTCACAGCAACCTACAAACCTTGATCCTTAAAATCACTGCAACCCCAATACCTGCTCCCAGCTATAACCGCAACCTCCTCTTTCTTGTTGCTCCAACCGCAAACTTGCCTACCCTCTTCCACCTTGCTGCCACCGATCCTAGACCTCTCAAAGCTGCCCAGCAGCTATTCCGCCCCGCCCTGTCCAGCCGTAACCAGAGATTCATGTTGTGTTATAGTTTCTTTTTTGTTTTGAGTCTTGATTATAACCACGTTTTTGGCATAATTATATATGTTTCCCTATTGGGTTTGGATTAACTCCAGTATCAATTAGTATTATAACTAGCCTAATCCTAGTCCAATCACAGAGTTTCTTAGCACCCACCAAACCATAGCCAAAATTTGACAAAACTCTAATTTTCCCCTGCTGGTTTTCAAAATCAGCAACCCTAAATAAGTTGCTGCCACCCTCCCATGGTTTCTGCAATCCCCTGCCCTCCTCCTTGCTACTGTTGCCCACCTTCCCTCTCACCTCTACGTGCTAAGTGTCGTAGCTACCCCCATACAACCTTAAGTGTCGTAACCACCCCCATACAACCTTTCTAACTGCCGCTGCTCCTTTCTTACCATCCACGGCTCCAACCTGCCAACCTACCATACGACAACCCCTATTGCCGCTATCCTACACCTCCCCCTCCCCTTCTTGCTCACAGCCACCTACAGACCTTGACCCTTACAACCACCGCAACCCCCTCTACCTCTTGCTGCAACTGCAAACCTGCTTACCCTCTTCCTGCCTGCCGCCACCTACCTTAAACCCTCTCACTGCTGCTCAATGGCTATCCCACTCCGCCCAAGCCTGAGATTAGTGTTGAGTTGTATTTTCTTTCCTGTTTTGAGTCTTAATTGTAAGCCATTATTTTTGGCGTAATAAAATATGCTTTCTTATTGTAGTTTGGGTTAACTCTGGTATCATTTACATGCATACCACCCAATTCTTATGTATTTACATATCTAACACAGAAACATTGATTACATTTATGCCAACCAAATCTTTCATATCACATAAAAACACCACTATTTTAACTAATAAAAAGTGAGATGCACCTTTTTTTTTTGCATAGGTAAGGTAGCATATGTAAAAATTGAAATTTAGGTGTTAGATATGTAAATACATGGTATTAGGCGTGTCAATTCAAGTTCACAGGTCGGGTTAGGGTCTGACTTGACCGATCCATCAATTCAAGTTCACAGGTCGGGTTAGGGTCTGACTCGAAATTGACCGATCCGAAACTGATTGACTCGAGCCCGACTTGAATATTAAATGGTTTAGAAAGTCCAACCCGATCTCGACCAACCTGCAACCCGTTAACCCGAACCCAACCCGTATAACTTGTTTAACATAATTCATAATAGCTATTTGGTTCGATTTCGAGTCAATCTCGAATCCAATTTGGGTTGTTGGGTAAAGTTTGCGTCAAATTTGGGTTAGTGGGATAGTTTCAAGTCCATTTCAGGTTGGCGGTTAACCCGAAGCTAACCTAAAAAATTAAACAGATTATGATTCCTAACCCTAACACAACCCAGTAATTATTCAAGTGAACCTCAACCCGAACTTATAGAGTCGAGATTGGGTGGAGTTGGCGTGTCGGGTAAATTTTTGACACCTCTACATGGTATGTATGCAAATCTTCCAAAATAATAAACTGAAGATTTCAATGTTTATCTAGTCTATAAAAAAGTGCGGCTCTTTCAAAACAGCTGATTAAGTTTCTCCTTACTGACACAATATGCAATTCCAAAATAATAAACTGAAGATTTCAATGTTTATCCAGTCTATAAAAAAGTGCGGCTCTTTCAAAACGGCTGATTAAGTTTCTCCTTACTAACACAATATGCAACCTCGTAGGCAAGATGCAAAAATATCCACAAAGTTGAAAAATAAGGCAAACTATCAAAATTCCAACACATGAATACTTGATGAAGCGCCGAGAAAAGTATGGAACGAAAAGCTTACGTATCACCAGTAACTGCTGCCTTGTGACAATCGCTACCTTTACCACCGAGTGCACCAGTTTCAATGAACTTCTTGGCATTATCCCAAGCACCTCCAGCGGTATTTAGGAACAGAGCCATAAGTATGCCGGCCACTGTTGCAAACATAAGCAGAGATGCCACCACTTTGGCACCAAGAAGTGGCTGACCGGTGACCTGACCCAACATTTTGAAAAGAACCCCTGCAGGCCGGTAGTTTGATTATTTAGAAAATATATCTTATCAAAGGGTATCGACGGCAAGTTTATTGTTTCAATAAGGAAAGCAGTGAAAAGTATAAGACAGACCAATTACAACAGGTGAGACAATTGCCAAAGCACCCGGTTTTATCATTTCCTTTAAAGATGCAAACGCCACAATCGAAACACAACGGCCATAATCTGGTTTCTCATTATATTCCTGTAACAGAGAACAATTGAATATAGGGGCATTTGCATACATAACACCAAATTCCTATTTAGTTAAATATCTAAAATCCAAACTTTAGTTTTTATATTTATGCAACCTAAATCTTTCATATCACATAAAAATGCCCCCATTTTAACTATTAAGAAGTGATATACACATTTTCATGCGTGGTAAGGTGACATGCATGTAAAAATTGAAGTTTAGGTGTTAGATAAGTAAATACAAAGGAATTGAGTGAAATGTATGTAAATCTTCCTTAAGTTGCCGATGCATGATGAAAACAGTTTTAAAGAATGACCAAAAGGCAGCTATCACGCACCATAATTCCTGGCCTCTCGATAAACTGTCTACGGACTTCGTTAACAACCTCCTGAGCTGTTTTTCCAACGGCCGCACATGCCCAAGCACTAAATACAAATATAAGCATTGAACCTAACAAACCACCAACAAAAACCTCAGGGATTGCAATGTCCACCTGCAAAAAAAATTGATTTAGAAACAAATGTGGACCTAAAGGCGGCATTTTGCTGAAAAGGCACATGGCTGAGTACTGAATGTCATTACCTGTTTAAAAGGGAGGTGAGAAAATGCAGCAACTTCATCCATATATGCACTGAAAAGAAGAAAAGAAGCGAGCGCAGCAGACCCAATGGCAAAACCTTTCGTAGTAGCCTTGGTGGTGTTGCCCACAGCATCAAGCACATCTGTTATTTCTCGAACACTCTCAGGCTTGCAACATTATTTTGTCCGACAAAAAATGTAAATAAAGATCATTAGATTCTATCATGAACAGAAGTTAAGACAGTACCGATAAATCAGACTGTAAGATTGCAGACTAAGGTTTCAATTGGCGGAGCTTTGGTTTTTACAAAAGTTTATACATAAGGTGCTCTTTGACATGGTATGTAAACGTATTAAAAACCAAACAAAAAATAAAGAGAATAGTGTCAGAATGGTCCCCCAGACATTAGCAAAGGGCCATTTTAGTTTCAGAAACTAGAAAAGTGTTACTAATTTGACATTTTATAAACTCTAAGATTATAATGGCACAATGTAAATAGTCAACGGACTATTTTGGCACTTTACTCAAAAAATAAATGACTCCTAACTTTCTGTAGAGCAGAAAGCACTTAAAAAACTCCTCCGAACAAGGCCTAAATTTTTAAACAGGGGAATGAAAAACATCGATGTAGCAACGATTTAAACTTGTAGAATCTCAGGCAACATAGCAATGATTAAGCGCAACAATAATACCTGCTGTCCCATCTCAACAATTCCACCAGCATTGTCAGCAATTGGCCCAAACATGTCCATGGTAAGAACATAAGCTGCAGTGCTAAGCATTCCCATCGTAGCAACCGCTGTACCAAAAAGGCCACCAGTTGGGTTCCCATTTTCATCCATCAGGCCAGATGTTTGCCCAAGCCAATATGCTGAGATGATGGCTAAACTAATCACGAGAACAGGAAGAGCTGTGGATTCCAAGCCAAGACTTACACCTGCAATTATATTAGTTCCATGCCCTGTAGCACTTGAAAGTGCTAAAGTTCGTACAGGCTCATGCTTGTAGTCTGTGTAATATTTGGAGATCCACACAAAAGCATAAGCTGTTATAATGCCCACCAATCCACATAATGCAAAATTTAACCATGCGGACGGTGCTTGTTCGGTATAAAGAAGCCACCGCGTAGACTGTCAAAATGAAACCCTCAACAAACATAAAATGCAATGACATATTTAGGAAAGAAGATGTAAGAAAAATATTATGAAAATTTACCACTCCGAAAGCTATAACGGCTAACACTATTGTGATAGAATAGCCTTTCTGGAGAATTGCCATAGGATCTTCTACCGGAACCTTAGATCCAAGTTCACGTGTTCCACGAATTGAGAGAATTCCAACAGAAGATACCACAAGGTCAAAAGAATGGACAACAAGAGGAAATAGGATAAACCCTGATGGATCTGTATTTTAAGGAATTAACAATTAAGTGCAACTTTTGAAAACAAAGAGAAAGGAGTTCCAAGGCAGTTGACTATTTCTTAGAACAAAGTAATTGACTCATAAATCAGAGGTAAAGAGTATTTTCAGACTTTTCTTTTGCAGAAAGATATAAGAAAGAAGAGGATTCTTTTTCTCTAAAAAGGATAGAATAATAAGCATAGCCTTGCATCAATGCAGAGAAAGCCAGAGAAGAGCAGTCACATATAAAATCTTAACAAAAAATTATTTGCAGACAATCTTTACCTTCAATTTTGCAGTGCTGAGCCATTGTTCCTCCGAGTATCATTGCACTGATGATTTCTGCAGCTATGCTCTCAAAAAGATCAGCTCCTCGAGCAGCACAATCACCCACATTATCACCAACCTTTAGTCAAAATAGAGAATTCGGATCAAGTTTAATCAGGCAAAACACTACCAAGGAATATGTAATATTCTCAAAAAAAAAAATTCTCATCTACAAAATCTAAGTTGGAGAATAAGAGCTACCAATATTGAAAATCTTCCTAATAGGAAAAATTGGAAATGGATAACCATACAAAACTTGGTAACGAGGATAAAGCTATGAAGAAGATAAAGACAACTATAAGCACAAGTAGAAAGATCGGTAACCAGGTAATAGTACTCAAAGTTTGTCTGAACAATATTTATGATTTTACAAAGCAAGCCCTAATTTTAATCTAAAGGCTCGTTTGAGGAAACTTTCAGGTTGCTTCCCGCTTCCAAAACAGTTTCTTCTTCACTTGATGAGTTGTTTAGTTATCGTGTTTATTTTTTAGAAACGTTTTTAAAAAATCCAGTTTTTCGCCAATTCAAGCCGTAACTTCTATCAAACTATAAAAATCGGCTTTTGTAAAAACAATTTTTAATAGGCTTTTCTCAAAGAAGAAGCCTAACCAAATAAAGCCTAAATTATCATCCTTGAGATCTCTTGGTATTCTTGTTATTCTTGTTCGGGAATATTCATCGACGTTAGAGTATACTGAGAAGTTATATCTAATATGCTAAGAAAAAGATAGGGACATTTACATTCATACAACCCAATTCCTATGTATTTACATATCTAATATATCTAATACCTAAACTTTACCAATACCTAAACTTTACCTTTTACATTTATAACACCCAAATCTTTCGTATCACATCAAAAATACCACTACTTTAACTTTTAAAAAGTGGCATACACCTTTTCATGCATAGAAAGAGTGGTATATTTGTAAAAATTAATTGTAGGTGTTAGATATGCAAATATATAGAAATTAAGTGGTGTAAGTAAATCTTCCAAAAAAGATATACAGCACAAAATTTGAGACAAACTAATGCTTCAAATTTGCTGTTTAATTGAATTCATTGTCCTGAAATTATAGAGGCAGAATCTTAAATTTCAAAATTTTAATAAACACAAGCGGCCAAGAAATAAAGCATCTTACCACTGCTTCTCAAATACAAAATAATAAATTTTGCAATAATTAATATTGCATGATTAAAGTTCTATCAAGGTATAATTTTAAAACCTTTCATATTGCAGCATCAACTCAAAACGAGATTCCAATCTTTAACCCCAAATGGACGGTTTTGTCAAAGTAACCCAAAAGGAATCCGATCTAAAAAGACATGAGATACAAACTGTAGCAAAAATTGCCGATATGAATACCGATGCTGACGAGGCTTTTCTAGCATATACAGCCAAATGATCAAAGGAACCAGAAACATTACAAGATTGCATTGCAAACCAAAAGAAATAAAGTGTGCAGTAAATGTAGATGTAAATAATTAAGGGCCTATCGTTACTAAGGTAACCTAAAATAAGATTCACAATAAAAACACATAAAATTACAATATATGAGTTGTTAACTACTGGCATTAGCAAAACAAGTAATTTTTAATGTATAAATAACAAACAAACTTTGCTTGTTCCAAATAATAATTTAATAGTCATCAAAATCTAAAATTTCAAAAGAAAAATAAAGAATAAACATAAGATTTTGGCAACTATTAAGTTTGTACTGAAAATAAAATTAAGTACCATCCAAATTGAGAAAATTTCAATTACCTGCAAAAAACTAACCACTAAACAAATTAAAATAAGAATAAGAATATAAATCACCCTAAAGGAAGAGCCAAGCCTCATGCTGGTATAAGAGGATGCCAGTACAAGCGGGCTTGCCCCCAAAAGTAATCGTCAACACCTATAAAGCACTCAAAGAACACATCCAACCAGAACACACATAAGAATTGAAGAAAAGTTGAATTCATATTACAATACACAATCCTTAATAGCTTAAACATAACTCAGGAATCCAATTTATAGCCCACAAATTACCTAAAATAATAATTATTTATGATATGTTAAGATCAAATATCCTTATAAGCTATCTTTTCTATTAACAAAAAGAGAGTCATATATTTTCATCAATTAACAATATTCCTAACCTCTACATAGAATCAGAAATTACCACTAGCCATGATTGCTACTGCAAGTTAACTACAATGCAAAGCAAGCCCACAATGCAAAACGAAATCCAAGCAGCTAAACTAAAAAAATATCATTCTGGGGAAAGTTAGGAATGTTACTGCCTCCTTTCCATGGTGGGCTGACAAGCCACCTCAAAGATATTGAGGAATTTAATTGGAAACAACTTTGATAACCGCTTAATTAGTTTTATTCTCTTACTACTTATATTTTTTTTATGTTTATTTCAAAATTATTTCCATCTCAAATTTAGATTAGATATATTTGAAAAAAGGGACCGATATCCCTATATATATATACCTTATGTGTGAATAATAAAAGCATATAATTTTTCCTCTCAAAGTTTGTTTTTCAACAAGGTAGCAAAGCATGAAAACAAACCCTGGTTCTCTTTTAGCAGGCCCTCCTCAACTCCCTCTTACTTACCCGGCAGGCCCGAAATGGCCCCTGCAGGCCGTCCCCGATTCTTGTTTTTTCTCCCTCCAGAATCCCTGCAGACCACCAGCCAGACAAGGGTTCTTCTCCCACAAGAGATCTTCTCCTGCCAGTTTCCCTGCAGGGGCTGCAAGCAGAGCAGTTGGATCTTGTTGTTCCCTACTTGTTGATCCTTCCCAGCCCATCCAGCTAACATTTCAAAGGATAGCAGCAAGCAGCAGTCCATCAAGCGGCAGCCTCAATTCAGGAAGGGTGATTGGTAGTACTGAAATGCATCAAGCCTTATACCTTCCCAAAAAAAAATCTGTCTAAACGCACTAGTGATCCCACCTCCATTTTTCCTCAAATTTCTGAGTCTGTTGAGTCTATGTTTGTCGAAAAACATGTCATTTTATGGCTTCATCCTAATTTCAGATATGCTGTAAAGTTATATCCTCATTTGTTTATAAATAAAAATCTAATTCTCATCACTGTGAAATTTATTAACTTGTCAAACTCACTAGAAATATTTATCCCATGATTTAGTATAAACCCTCACATTCTTTTTCCATTATCCACAAAGAAATTTAGGAATCATCCAAGGTGAAAAACCTAATTTGGGCTCGATAATTTGTCTCGTTTACTGACTATCACATTAGATTCGGATCCTCAAAACTAATAATATCAAGAAATATTTCAACATCATCCTGGATCATATCTTTCAAAAAATGGAATAATCCATATGAGTTCATGTATTAATACCCCATAGCAAAATGGGATAGATGAGAGAAAAAACAGACATCTCCTTGAGGCATCCGTTCAATTATGATCTCTCATCAAGTTCCAAAATATTTTTGAAGGGCAGCAGTTCTTACTCCAACATAGCTTATCAATCCAATGCCTAGTCGAATACTTAACTTCAAAACTCCACTTCATGTCTTAATGGTTAACTATCCTCACATCAGAGCATTCTTTTTTACTGTAGCACTTTAAAATTTTTTATTGTGTATCCTTTGTTCGCATCTATTCCCCAAATCGCACGAAACTTGACCTTAAAACAAGTGTATTTTCCTGGAGTGTGCCTTCAACAAAAATGAGTATAAGTATTATTCATTTGTTGCCAGAAAATACTAAAACTTCAATGATATTTATTTTTTATAATTAATTTGACTACCCCAAATATGATGTTCATGGGGAAAGTGAAAATAAATATCAATTTTATGGTGCATTTGATGACACTTACATGGCCTCACAACCTACTCCTCTTCCGCCAAGCACTCCTATCCTTGTTGAGTAGGGGTGTAAATGAGCCATTTGATGACACTTACATGGCCTCACAACCTACTCTTCCGCCAAACACTCCTATCCTTGTTGAGTAGGGGTGTAAATGAGCTGAACACGAGCTAGCCTCAGCTTAGCTTGTGTTAAGCTCGTTAAAAAATATCATTGTCTGTGTTTGACTCGTTTATATTTTGAACACAAAAAATTTGTTCGTGTTCAACTCGTTTGCATAGCAAGTCAAACAGGAGTTGTTCGTAAACAAAGAATTGTTTTAACAACCATAGTCACACAGTTATAAAATGTTAAGGGCAGGGGCAATATTTAAATCTTTTATTCATACTAAAACATCATTTAAATAGAATTTAATATTTTTTATTCTATTTTTTTAATTAATAATTTTATTTGATTACAAATCTTTGTAGTCTTCTATACAATTAAATTATTTAAAATACTACTCATCAATTTGATACACATACACATATATATAATTTAATTATTTCGAGTCAATATGAATTGAACACGAATGAACAAATCCTTGTTCGTGTTCGGCTAGTTTATATATAGAGCGCAAAAACAAATTTCGTGTTCGACTTGTTGGCTTAGCAAACGAATCAAATACAAGCTTCTTATCGAGCCAAACATGAACCATTTGCGAACAACGAGTCATTTGGACAACCCTATTGTTGAGGATGTCCAACCAACCAAACCTGAAGCCCATAACAAAGTACTTAGTGTGTACACAAGAAGAGAAAATCTTGAGTAGGAGGAAGACAACTTGCAAAGACAGAATCGCTCAAACCAAAACCCATGTTCACGTTCACCTAAAATTTTGGGTGAGGAGTCTAGTACTCATGAGTTATCCTTTTCCTCTTCTGGTGCTCATAACAAGAAAAATTATACTAGATACTCAATTTAAAAGTATGTAACTTGAGTGAAGTTATTCTCATCCTATAAATCCTTTATATCCTTTATATCCAACCTTGCTAGTGTACAAATTCTTAAATCTATTCATGAAGCTCTTAAAAATCCAGAATGGAAGAAAGCAGTTGCTTCAAGCACTAAAGCATAGCAAAACGCGGTCTTACTCAACTCCCACAGGATAACAAGTCAGTTGAATGCAAATGGGTATTCAATAACAAATACCTAGCTGATGGGAGTATTGAGATATTCAAAGCCAGACTGACTGCAAAAGGTTTCACTCAAAGCCTATGGGATTGGCTATCAGGAGATCATCACACCGGTTTCCAAACAGAACATTATCAGAGTTCTCCTTTCAGTGGCAATTAGCAAACAATGAGGACTGCATCAATTTGAAATAAAAAATATCTTTCTAAATCAGGATCTAGAAGAAGTGTACATGAAGATACCACCCAAACCTCGGAATGATTCCAACAAATACCTAGTATACAAACTCATGAAGTTTCTCTATGGACTTAAGTAGTGACAAAGGGCATGGTTTGAAAAGTTTATTAAAATTATGAGATCTAATAAATAATCTCAAGGTCAAACTGATCATACATTGTTCATAAAATACACTCAGGATTATTGTTGCATTGAGAATATATTTGGATGATATGATTCTTACTGATGATGATGAAAAAATTCCTTAGATAAAAAATTGTTTTCCATTAAGTTTGAAATCAAGGATCTACGAACAATGAGATTTTTTTCTAGATATGAAAATAACCAGGTCTAAGAATGGCATTATAATATTACAGAGAAAACATATCCTAAAACCACTAAAGAAGACAGAAACGATTGAATGCAAACCTGTTGATACTTAAATGGATCCAAACAATAAATCTAACAGGGGAGAGAGAAGAGAGTATATATGTGAATAAGAGAATACCTCAAAACTTGGTAGGAAAACTTATCTATCGTCACATACTATGTTAAATATTGCATACACTATAAGTATTGTGAATCAACATATGAATAACCTAAATAAAGAACATTTGAAATTGGTATATAGGATTCTGAGGTTTCTCAAGAAGTTTCCTGTTTATGGATTAATTTTTGAGAAAGCCAGACTAGAGGTAGAAATCTACATCGATGTAAGATGGGTTGTTTATGGACTAATTTTTGAGAAAGCCAAAACTAGAGAGGTAGAAATATACACCGATGTAAGATGGGTTGGAGACTTACAGAGAGGTCCAATGCAAGTAGGGGTGTAAACGAGCCGAACACGAGCGAGCCTAGGCTCAACTTGTATTCAACTCGTTAAAAAATATCACTGATCGTGTTCGACTCGTTTATATTTCGAACATAAGAAAATGTGTTCGTGTTTGACTCGTTTTCTTAGCGAGCCGAACATGAGTTGTTCACGAACAAACAGTCATTTTGACAACCCTAGACATGCAGTCATGGGATGTTAAGGGCTGGGGCAAAATTTAAATATTATTATTTATATTAAAACATCATTTAAATATAATTTAATATATTTTTTATTCTATATTTTTAAATAATAATTTTAATTGATTATAAATCTTTGTAACCTTGTAGTTAATTAAACTTTTTAAAAATATTACTTATCAATTATATATATATAATTGGTAAGTAGTATTTCAAGCCAAAATAAGTCGAACGCAAATGAATAAATCTTTATTTATGTTCAGCTCGTTTATATCTACAGCACAAAAAAGTGTTCGTGTTCGGCTTGTTAACTAAGTGAATGAATCAAGCACGAGCTTCTTAACAAACAGAAAAAGAGTTGTTCGTGAACAACGAGCCGTTTTGACAACCCTAAATGCAAGTTACTTCTTCTATGTACGAAGAAATTGGTTAGATGGAGAAGAGGTAAGCTATTATTTCTAAAAGCAGTGCAGAATCAGAGTATATGACACTCACCTAGGAAATTTGTGAAGAGATCTGGATTCAAAATTGTTAGGGGAATTGTGATGTACCTCCAATAAGTCTATACATATGTTTTGTGATAGTCAAGCAAACATCAGTATTGCCAAGAATGATGTGCATCATGATAGGAACAAACACATTGAAATTGATAGACATTTTATCTCTGAAATAATGATAGAATTATACAGTTAAACTACATCTCGACACACCAACAAGTTGTTGATGTCTTCACCTGTAAGCATGTTCTTAGAGTTTAATACCAAGCTTAGTTTCTACAACATCTACGACCCAGCTTGAGGGGAAGTGTGGAAAGTTAGGAAGGTTCCGACATCCTTTCCATGGTGGGCCTACTGGACACCTCAAAGTTATTGGAGAATTTAGTTTTATTATCTTCCTATTTATGTTAATTTTATGTTCATTTCATAATTATGTTATTTCCTTTCCAAACTCAGATTAGCTATATTTGGCAAGTTTGTAAATTAGAAGGGACCATTTTCCCTATATATGTACCTTATGTGTGAAGAATGAAAACATGTAGTTTTTCCTCCCAAAAATTTATTTTCAACCCATTCCAAAAGGATTCTGCCTATAAAATAGCTCCGGGTTTGGTGTAAAGGAATTAAAAAAGCTGAAATAAACAACAATAGAAATGGAAGTGGCAAAGGAATTAAATTGAAACCAGTTTTCACCCACTTGTTTGGTTTACAAGAAATTGGGTGAAAAAATATATATATTTTTTATTTCTTGCTTAGTTGATGAGATTTTTTTTGTGAGGTGCATGTGAATTTTAACAATGTTCTCATAAAATTTTCTTATTGGTTTTTACTAAGGATGGATAGAGAGTTTTTAATGAAAAAAATTATATTTTTTCACATTTCTTATATAAATCTATTAATCATATTGAAGCCATACACCCAAGATGAAATTATGAATGAAAATACTTTTACACACTCCAATTGCTTCAAACCCAATATAACCTGAAGGAAATGGCCCCTTCCGTAGCAGCCATTTTAGGCAAGTCCTACCAAAATCTAGGACGTTGAAGAAAGAAGTTTTTTTCATTATAGCTACATGCGCAAAAAAAAAAAAGTTTTAAGTGGCAAGCAATAAAGCATCTCTAATATTAAATCCATAGGAGTTGCTCCAAAATAATCTATCCTAACTGCACGATCCTCAAAAAATCTTTACATTGTATATCAGCACTTATCATCTAAAAAAATGATCTATTTAGCTGGCATTTAAGTGAGTAGAAGTAACCCACCCATCATTATATTATTAGCCTTTTGAATACAATCAAATTAAGAAATAACAAAGTGATAAAGCTCATGATTTACGCCCCCTCCTTTATGAAATAGCTAGCTAAGACCTTCGATGGAAATCTAAAAATTTATAATGGTCAAAGTCACAAAAAGTGAAGATTGAGATGAGCATTATGAGCCTTTAGAAGTAGTAAATATTGCGTTATTTTTCCTCTTTTTTTTATTTGTTTTATGAAAAATTTCTACAACGACGAATCTAATGAGAGTTGGACGTGTTCTCAGGCGTTATGATAAGCCCATTATGTTTGGCTTAGGGTTGCAAGTCGTTTCAATTCATCTCTAAGATTCCCTAGTTCAGTTGATTCTAATTCCTGCATTTTTTTTTCATCTACTGAATTAACAGTTGTGGCTGCTGATTCGAATTTTGTGGGATTAATTGGTTCTGAGATTTTGCAACAACAGAAATGCCCCAATTCCCATAACAAGATTTTTTTTCTATTTGCAACATTCTCTATTTGTAGTGGGATAAAGGTTTTGTAGTTGTTGTTGCAACATTCTCTATTTGTGACACACCAGCAATTTGTGAATTTTTTACACCATACTACATCAGCTTTGCTCTACGCTCGTCACGTGTTTGGTTATGTTGGAAAATCTTATTTCCCTGTTTTGTTTGCTTTAGGCTTGTGTTAAGCTCATATCATCTTCAATTTCAACATCTAAAATTTTATGTAATGCTTAGATCTCATCCATTAGATTGAAATCCAATGGTTGAAACACAAGAACAATATGTTAGAATGTGTGTGCGTGTATATGTTTTAGACATTAACAAGCTGAACACAATCCAACAAATTTGCTTCTATTTGGCTGACTAAGAATAGAAGCTTGATAAAACTTTTGAAGCTTAACTCAGTTGCTTAAAGATCAAGTCAAACACCGCATATTCACCCAAGTACATGCTAGATCATAGAGGATTTAAAGAAAATAAGTTATTTTGGATCTTACTTAGGTTATAATAGGACCACCCCTTTGTTTGTGAATTTTAACTATTGTAGAATTTTATCTTTGTTTTAAAATTTCAGAATTTCATATTTTATTCTTTAAATTACTGTTTGAAGTAATACGCAGAAATAGTTCGTTTTTCTTTGTACATCTCAGCATAGATATGCATTAGTGACCGGCCCTAAGACACATAGAACAATCACGCTTACTAAAACTTGAAAACTAATAAAGTTGAATTATTAATGCTTTGCCAAGTCAAAGTAAACAATCACTTATTTATTTTATTACCATTACTCCTGTTCCTGCTCACATTAGTAATATTTGAAGAGCACTTATTTATAGGATGAAATGCAAATAAAAAAAAATGTTAAAATACAGTATAAAATGGTAATATTCAATTAGAATGTATGCTTACGCCTACAAAATTTAGATTAAAAAACAAAAGAGCTGAAGACAAATTATAGAAGTACAAAATGTGAAATGTGAAATGTGAAGTTTGATAACTCAGTTGCAGAAAAAAGGAAAAAGGTGGTTTCAATAAAACAGATTAACTCAATTTTAAAACGCAAAATGTGAAGTTTGATACCAGATCAGCAATGACAGCCGGATTTCGAGGATCATCTTCAGGTATACCCTGTTCTACTTTACCAACAAGATCAGCTCCAACATCTGCTGCTTTAGTGAAAATTCCCCCACCTAACTGGGCAAAAAGAGCAACAAACGAGGCACCAAAACCATATCCAACAAGGAGAAGAGGCACTGCAAAGAAGCATAAAATTTGTTTATGTCCATAAAACAAACCAAAACTAGATTTTCTTTAATTTTCTCAACAGAAAAGTGAATGACTTTTTCCAAGGTTCAAATGCATTGGCTTACATATGGTTTCTTCAACCCCCTTAAACTAAAAAAAAACTCATTAGTCATCCCATTAGAGCATATATTCATATGACAGCTTACACAGTTTTATCAACAACCACAAACAAAAAAGTTATTCACTATACGTCCCATTAGAACTCATCTTACTACCAAAAAAAAAAAAAATCCAATTTCCAGGCAGCACACTGCATATGCTTTTGATTCCATATATAAGGTTTCCTCATTATCTTCTGCCAAATTGAGGATAGATTTTGCTGCAATAGTTGTCCTAAAATATGCTAACCTACAAGCAAATATGCAAAAATAAAGAGAAAAAATCCCGTTTATTATTCGTGCATATTAATGGAAATCATATTCTTTGTAAGATTCCATTGCTTGTCAGCAAGCAACAACAATGGATACAATATTTAAACCAACGCTAAATCCAATAAGTGAAATAAAATGATGCTTTATACCTTTCTCTAGCAAGAACAAAGAACAGAGGTCCAATTATCAACATGATTTACAATATATATATATATATATATATTGAAAATCTTGTTGGTAGACACACACACGCGCACGCATAAAAGCTGATGATGCTTAGCTCACCTATCACTTAGAGTCTCCATACATGCCAAAATTATGCCATGAACCTTAAATATTAACAAAGCAAATACAGAATAAAGTAGAACAGAAGGTTACACGAGTCATTTTGGTCTAGTGGTTGAGGGCTTTATCTTTCAAGCCATTTGTCCTGGGTTCAAGACCTTACCTCATGTGGTGTGCGTGAGTTTGGGTGTGTGTGCGTGGAAAGAAAGAAAGTTGAATGAGGGTGAGTATGAAAGTTTGCAGGAAAATCATTCAGAAAATAACATAAAAAATACATCAAAATGCAAGGGTATAGGTTAAGAAAATATTTATGATGGCATTGCAGCACAAACATATTACCAACATACCATAAAAATCCAAAAATGGGGACAACAAAATGAAGAAATAATAGCAAAAAATAAACAATAAATTAATATGAAGAGAATAATAATAACAAGGAAAAATTGTTGCTCTTCATTATAGAAGAAAGTCACCTCAAAAATTAAACGAGAATAATAAAATAATAATAACATTACATAACGGAGTAAAATCACAATGCTTGTTATCATCAACTGAAAGCTGATGTTAAACAAGAAAGGAAAAAGGAGAAGTAAATTTTAGCAAAATTTCTATAACACTAAAGAGGTTCACTTGAGGTGTAAATATCATGAGTATAAGAGAACATATAGCTAATATAGAGTTTTAACACACAGCGATCCTGTAATATAGAACTTAAACTTCATTGTATTGGAGACATATGAGGCTTGCATCCATTTGAAGCAGTTTAGTATAGCCCTTCTTCAGATGTAAGTATATAATCAGTGCCATCCCCAATACCTTTGACCAGCATATTTTCACAAGCCAAATTAACTTAACTCATCATCCCCAGCCACCCAGCAACGAAAACAGACACATTTGCCCGACTTCTGATGGTATATAAACATTTGTTCAGGGTATTTAAACAACCAAGTGTGTGTGTTGATTGACTGTATTATCAAATAGTCATCTTCAGCCTTAACCCAACTATTTAGAACCACCTTTTATTTATCTCCTCTATTCATTCAAATTGATAACAGCATTATATGTTTTTTATAGTTTACATAAATCTTTTACACAATTACTAGCCATGTTAGCTTTGGTCCATCCTTTATCCACCTCAATGAAGCATCTATGCCAGCATGACATGATACAGATATGGGCGCAACATAACCATAAAAGTAAAATATAACACAACATGAACATGATTTTTTAATAAATTATTAAGAATAAAATGCGTAATCAAAATAATTAATGTCAATATTTTCTATCAAAAAGCATCACACAATAACATATAATATCAAACGCGTAGAAAAAAAAAACTTAAGGACTGGGAAAAAAAAACTAGCATCGCTACATCAGTTTAACTACAATTACATGTTAATATTTTGTCAAGTGTAAATAATTGTCAACAATGTGCCGACATTAGCATTAATTATTTGATATGATTTTATCAATATCAATATTTTACTGAACACATAAAACATGAAAAACCTAAAAAAAGTATAATCTTCAAAATAATCACAAAATATATACGCATCAATGTAAGTCTAATTGAACATAATACACTCGACACCGTAATCATCATCAATGCTAATTGGATAAGTCTAATTCATATAATCAGGTTTCAGTCATGTCAGGATGAATCACACTATATTTAAATTTTGTTAAGAAAATACATCAAACTTGACTTTCTATATGTCTAACATATGACGATGCATGTCAGATGCATGTTTGCACCTGAAATGTATGTTACACAAGCACATGAGACTTTTCAAAGTGCTTGTACTTCATAGTTTTTTATCATATTCCTTTAACATTAATTCCATCCAACTAACTAGTGCTCACCTTGTGCCCTCCATTTCATAAACCAAAATTCCAATGTCTAAATCCTATTTTATTGTTTTCTAATTTGTGCTGCCCAATGCTCAGATCCAAATAAAATAGCCAAATAATCTGCTTTCATCAAACTTGGCATGTTTGAATTTTATGTTAAACACAAACAACTTCCATGAATTACAAATTCTAAGTGATGCAAAACTCAAATTTTATGGTCATGAAAAAATGCAGGATGTGTTGAGATGAGTGGATTTCATACAATAAGCATTGATTTTTTTTTCTTTATGTTATTTTAGAAGTTGCACCCGTTTGTAGCTCAATATATATTTTGTAAGCATGCCTATAATGATATCAACTTAAAAATAGGTTGTGCTCTCTTCCGTGGCACGAACCTCAATTTGATTTAATATTTGGCCCAACAACTATTTCTATTGGTTGAATGATACTGCGAAGGTTGGTGGGGTTGGGGGTAGAAAAAAGATAAAATGCACTAATTAAATAAAAGATACAAGAGTTTCCTACACTCGCGACCGTTCGGGATTGACAAAGGAAAGAGACCCAGGAAGTCGCCCAAACAACGAAGGGATACAGTTGTCACCGTCTAATGTCGTGGATATAGACTCGTCCGCATCCGAGAACCACAAAGGGATTACAAGCCCTCACAAAACTTAAATGAACAAAAGACCCCTAATACAATAAACGATCATATATTTACAATCAAAAAAGAATTTAAAACTAATAAAAGCGAACGAACGGAAATACCCTTGTTGTTATTAGGAGTGGGCGACAAACCTAGTCATAGAAAGAGGGTCGACCAGACCTCCACTTGGACCAAACCAGTCCAGGGTCACCTCCCCCCATCGTGTCAATCTACCACGGTTGGTAGAACTTCGACCTCATTTATTGAAGCTTCTGACTACTCATGATATGACATCAGTTTGACCACGTTGAAGGTGACAGAGCTATCGTAACCTCTCGGAATTGGAAAGCCTTCAACTTTCAACACTTGTTTCCTCGATGACATGGTTAGGGTTTAAGTTTGGGAGGTAAGAAAAGGCACATGAGATTGATTTACGGTGCAGAAAATCTACTTCCGGAGAAAAAAAGATGACATGAAATAACCAAATAAGAGATCCAAGAGTTTCCTACACTCACAATAAGTCGGGATACAAAACTAACCGCTCGAAAGATTGACAAAGGAAAAAGACCTGGGATGTCACCACCAACAACGAAGAAATACAGTTGTCGCCAACAATGTCGTGGATATAGACTCTTCCTCATCCAGGAATCACCAAGGGATCACAGGCCCTCACAAAATTCAAATGAACAAAAAACCTCTAATACAATAAATGGTCACATATTTATAATAAAAAAAGGACCTAAACTAAATAAAAGCGAACAGACAAAAATACCCTGCTGCTATTTTATATGGAGAGGGTCGACAAGCCCACCTCCACTTGGACGCTCACCTCCCCACCTCGCATCAATCTACCGGGGCTGGTAGAGCTTCGAACTCATCTGTCGAAGCTTCTAACTCCTCATAATATGACATCAAATCGGCCACATTGAAGGCGGCATAGCTGTTGTAACCTCTTGGAATTGGAGGGCCTTCGACTTACAACACTTATTTCCTCGATGACATGGCTAGGGTGTAGGTTTGGGAGTTAAGAGAGGGTGTATGGGGCTGATTTAGGGAGCATAAAAAATATTGAGGGTTGATTTAAAAAATCAGCAACGAGAAATTAGGGTGAGGTCAAGATTTGGCTATGTTTTGGTGGGTTTAGGTTTGGGAAGTGAAAGAGGGTGATGGGGCTGATTTAGAGTGCATGAAAAATATTTAGGGATGTTGATTTTGAAAATCAACAAGTTGGAATTAGGGTTAGGTCAAGATTTGACTATGGTTTGGTGGGTTTAGTTTTGGGTGGACCCTAGAATGAAACTAGGGTTTTACTAGCTCTGATACAATATGATACCGGAGAAGGACATAGAAAACATTCAGCATGAACAGTTAAGAAAGCAATCCACGACAGGAAAATAAATAACCATAACAAAGACGGGATGCACTAATCAAATAAAAGATACAAGATAAAAGAAATTCCTACTCTCGCAACCGATCGGAATGCATAAATCACCAGACGAATGATTGATGAAAGATGCCTGGAATGCCGCCACCAACAACGGAGGGATACAGTTTGCCATCACCCAACATCATGGATACATACTCGTTCCTATCCAGGAACCACAAAAAGATCACAAGACCTTACAAAACTCAATGAACAAAAGACCCCTAATACAATAAACGATCACATATATATATATAATCAACAAAGGACCTAAACTAATGAAATCAAACAGACGAAAATACCCTTGTTATTCTTAGGAGTGGGCAGCAAACCTAGCTCTAGAGAGAGAGCCGACCGGCCCTCCCTCACTTGGACAAACCGGTCCATGGTCCCCTCCTCATTCCGCGTCATTAAATCTCTATTCATTGTTGTGGAGCAAAAAATACTAGTTGAATATTTTTCATTTGTAGCTTGGTTGGTTTCTGTTTGGTAATGATCGTTGGAGTGGGCTATGGTTGAGATCTTTTAGTTATTAGCAATCGTAATTTATGGCTTCATTGTTTGGATGTATTCATTATCAGCTTCGACTTATGGCTGTGATTGTGTTCAGCATGTGATTGTGAAGAACTAGTAACTACAGCAATCAATTTTGTTGTCATGGGAAAAACCTTTTGAATTTAGGGTAGCCATCTTTATTTATTATTATTATTTATTTATTTTTTTTGCTTGAGGGAATATTCGGAAATTATAAGAAGTGAATGCCTAAGGCATGAAAAAGACAATTCCAATAAAATTTTCCTTTAATTGAATCAGATCCTCTTGGTGATTGAATACTAGTTGGATGCAATTCATATTAACCTAGCAACCTTAGTGGTTACGGAATTTTAAAATAAAAAATCTTCTTGTTTTAATGTGAGGCCTAGATTTTTATTTTGGTTATTTCTTTCCCTGCGCTCATCCGATTCTATCAATTTTTGTAATAGATCAGATTTTGTGAGTGAATTTAAACAAAATTTACACAAGTTGAATTTACTAATTTTATCATGATTTTTTATCAAGGAGTGCTTTTACACGCTAATGAATTTCAATGTGAAAGTTCAATTAGTTGATCGTTAAATCATTGTTTGTGTGAGATTTTCATGTTTTCTAATTTTCATTAAATAATATGAATATTTGTTTAAATTAATGCACCGTGAACTATTATTTTAAAATTTGTGCAATATATTATACAATTATATTAGAAAAACCTAATGCAGCAATTTGAGCATTAATCACATAGTTGCACTAGGAAATCCTATCCCATAAGACTATCATAAATCATGGTCCTAGCATATTCAAAAAGATGGATATTGAAAAATGTAAAAAATCACTCAAAGCTTAAAAAAAATAATAATAAAGAAACATATCTTAGTATATCAATCAACAGAAACAATTTTCCATTGTTTAGCTATGACTAAACAGATCTAAAAGCATGTCCAGCGGCAAGAAAATTCCAATAGAACTTGAAAACAATTGAAATTAAATATGTGAGATGTACGCATTGGATGTAGTTTTTTCAAAGCTCAAAAAAAAACACTCGACTTGTCTTATTAAAAGATCTTCAGAAATGGATTAGTGGAAGCAACTTACAGTCTACAACCTTCATTGAACCAGGTGAATCTACACCAAGCCACACATAGAATGTAGCATAAAGGACTGCCACACCAAGTACAGCCATGCCAACAACCACCATGGCTGATAGGCCACCAGCTCGAACGGCTATCTGCAAATAGGTGTTAATAAAAATCTGAAATATGGAAGTATTAAAGAGAAACAAATATAAAATTATTACACAAAACCACCTGTAAAGACTCCCTAGCTGAACGCCTAGCAGCGCTCGCAACTCGAATATTTGCACGAACTGAAACCCACATCCCAACATATCCAGCAATGCCCGAACATAAAGCGCCTAGAAGAAAAGCAGCAACTGTAATAAATGCGGTTGTTGACCTAAAAGTAGCAATTATGAATCATGGTTAGCAAAAAGATGTGACAGCATACATGAGAAATAAAAAGGAAGATTTACATACATACCACACAATTTCTATGTATTTATATATTGAGCACCAAAGCTTCAATTTTTACATACATACCACCTCACTTATGCATGAAAAGGTGTATTTTATCTTTTAAAAGTTAAAATAGTGATATTTTTGGTATGATATGAAAGATTTGGGTGGTATAAATGTAAAAAAGCCAAGTCTAGAATTTAGATGTATAAATACAGAGGACTTGGGTGTATGTATGTAAATGCCCCAACAAGAAATAGAAAAGCTAAGCATGCATTGATGCAGAAAGAAGATAACTTTACCGCTTAATAAGAGAGGGAAGCAAAGAAAGTTACATTATCTTACCTTCCTAGACCAGATGATTCTTGCTGTGGAGTTGTACTGCGGAGAAGATATATGCTAAGAATAACAAGAGCTAGTAATACTGCCATCTTGGAAATAGTTCCATATTGAGTCCTGAAAAAACCTTCTGCTCCATCACGTATGGCATCTGATACCTAAAGAGGATAACATGATGCACATGCCAAATGAGGGATAACTTGAACAGAGGAAACTTACCATGCAGACATATAAAATTCAAAATAATGGAGTATTTCACGAAATCAAACTATTTATTAATAGGAAAAAAAAGGTTTAAGTGAACTAATTAGACGACACGGTAAATATTATGCTTATAATCAGATTCAAATTCTGAGTTCACTTGTACATCATGTTAAATAATTCGCATAAACATGCAAACACAATTAATGACTCCGACTAAGCTGATCATCATCCGCAATAGAATTATTTCTACCTCAGAAATTACAGGTCAGCGTTATAAATCATCAAACTCTATTTAATTCTGTGGATTATCACATCCATGGTCAGTTCTTTTTTTTATTTTTGCACTTCTGGCCATAGTATTTTTATGTAACCTTTCTCATACATGTTTCTTTCATAAATAATTTATCAAATTGTTATGGTGATGTGTTTTTAACCCGTTTATGCACATTGTGATGCAGACATGACCGAAAAATCTCTATTTATTCTTCACTACTAGAGAGATTAGCATACAGAGCCTCTTATGAAAGTTTATAAGATGAAGCATATTCGGAATCCAAGAACAACTGATCTATCTTTACTATAACTAATCAAATATTACACCATCAGTTGAGTCCATAATTGCATTTGATTGCCTGAAATTATTTCAACATACTACAGAATATAATTTTCTAATAGGAGAATCGAAGTCATTAACAAACTGTTGGAAGTATCAGAAATTAATGCATACTCCACTGATCATAACTGATTATAATTATTTAATCCAAAACATGGCTTGAAATTAACCGATGATGTGTCTAGCTAAAATAAAATTTAATCTTTGTTTCGCTTAGGCTTTCAGACTATTTAAGAGAGTGCTACTGTTAGTAATGTCAATTAAGGTGCAGTATCTATCTCTAGTTTTGCTCCTTAATTTGATCGTAATTACAAGTATTTCTAAGGTACAAGATAGGATCACAATTTATAATTGTTTTTATTGAACCCAATTCTAATGAGAACTCTTACAGAATGGTCCTCCTACTGATAAGACTTAAGAGTATTAGTTAATGATGAAGTGAACTCGAATGCTCAACAAACAATAGCATCTGATTTATCAATGTTCAATGTCAACAGGAAGGAGTAGGGACTGCACACCTCTTTCTCTCTAATTACGAAACATGGAGCATCAAAAAACAATGAAAAATACAATTCTATAATAGTAAAATGTGAACTGTTATATTTAGAACCTGTGACATTTCAGGGGGTCCCTCATCCTTTGCTAGAACCCATCTTGTTAAATAGGCTGAGAAAATGAAGCCTGCTATGCAAATAGAAAAGACAAACACAACGATAGGTGAAGTAGTAGCTCCAACATAAAGCACAGCTCCAAGGATCAGCAGTAACAAGACAGCTAAGACCCGTGCATTTATTCTAGTAAAAATCTGAAAAATCTGGAAATAAAATAAAATATATCAGAAGGAGAAATAAGGGAATATCTTATATCTCTATACAAAAAATCGTAGGTGCCACACAAAAAGCTAAAAAAATTAACAAACTTCTATCAGATCAAACATTCTATGATAGAATTAATTAAATATGAAAATATGTAAACGATTGAAAATAAACAGTTAACCGCATGACTAATTTTGCCAGGAACTATGTAACATAAATTTAAGAATTTATGGATAGTTCGTCAGCTGGTCTTGTTTTTTTTCTAAAAATTCCCACATAATAAATTGTCCTGCAAACTTGTACACGATGCTTGTAGAACTGCTATCATTGTGTTTGGGTCTGACAGAAGTTAGCTCCCAAATATTTTATCTTCATATGACAATTCAATCATAACATCTAAAATTTTGAAGTGCAACCAGAAGTTCAAAGTAAAAGAAAACGAAAAGAAGTCCCAATATTATCATGGATTTCAAAAGGATACACCTAACAAGTTTTATTTTGCATAGTATTGTTGCAAACAATCAAGCAAACAGTTGGTAGGGTCCCCAAAAAAATACATTGAAATCTAGTCTAATGAAAGAAAAAAAAGTTGTCATTGCTAGGCTCAATGCAACCTGATGCCGAAAATTTGCATGCTCTGGGGACGCATATAATTCAAGTTCAAAGAACTGCGTGATTCCTAAAAGGCAAAGATGAGACCAGTACATTTTCAACGTATTGGAAGAGCCTCCATAGAAAGCAGGAGAGGCAGGAAATACTTTTACTGAAGTTTGAGCCAATGCAACATAAAAAAAGGGAGAAGCAAGACTTCCTTTTTTTCGGTTGCAAATCCCAATGATACCGGCATTTTAATACTTCTCAGGGTGCCATTTTTTTTTTAAGTAAAAGGGTGCTAATACTCTCAGTCGAAAGAATCTCGTCCTTTGTTTGTCATGCGAAAACAATATTTCTAAATGGTTAAATAATACAGAATGTATGTCAGCGTTCTAATAGAGAATTATAAGAGAGAACTATAAAGCCCTTCAAAAATATTATTCATTAGAATGATTTAGCATTTCAAGCAAAATACACCTTTACATTAGTGTCAATTAAATTCCAGCACTTATAATGTATCACATTTAAATTGATCAGTTTTAAGATGGAAGCTTTGGGATTTAAAATTTCTCTAATAAGGTAAAAACATGAGCTATATGGCAACATAATGGAAATAGATATAGTGATATACACACCTAAATGTTGCTTCAGAACAAATTAAAAATGAAAAACAAATCTCAAGAAGTGGTTTACTAAACTCGGAATTCATAGAATAAGCTGCAAGAGAAATCACTAAAAACTATACATTAAAAGCTTGTTTGGGATCAATTTGTTTTTGTTTTTTCTTTTGTTCTAAAAGGCATGTTTGTTTAGTGTTTTTTACACATTTTTAGTTTTGTTTCAAAAAACAAATTAAAATTATCTTAAAAATACTCAAAATAACTTTTAGGTGTCTTGAATATTTTTTTTTAAATATATCATAATAAAACATGCCAAACAAGTTTTATTTCAAATCAAAACATAAACAAAATAGAATAAAAAAAATAGAAATAGAAAATAAAAGTGATCCCAAATAGCGGGTAAGGGTATGAATAAACCTGCAATAGCCCATAACAAAAAACCACAACTAAAACACACTTAGGTTTCTCGTTTCATCAGCCTAATTTTTTTATCTCGAATCAAATAGCTACAGCAATATAGTTGAATTATGAAATAAAACTGTCTTGAAAATAATGATGAGGAATGCTATCAAACCAATAGCAATTTTATATAACCTAAACCTTCTTGGAAGCATGGAAAGATCTCAATTTTTCTATGAGAACAGATGCAAGATCCAGAGAAAGAAGAGCCCTTGTAGAGAATTGAGAGCCTCCAGTAGGTTCCCTAACTAGTTCATCTTGTTAGCTTGTTTTCTACATTCGGTACTCTCTGCTTTATGCTTTTAATATTAATAAAATTCACTGTTTGGCACCAAAAAAGAGAACAAACACGAGTTGTGGATCTTAGTAATGCCTCTGATGGATGCATTTGGCAGTTGTAATAGTAAGATTGTGTTCCTGGCTATGGCCAAAAGCTGAATGCATATACATGGAAAATAGAAGAGCCCGACAACTGTTATTTCTTAGACCTAGATGTAACATGTTTTAGAGGAGAGGAGCAGAGGAATAGAAAAAAAAGAGTATTACCAAATGATTAGAAGTGTTCCACTTGGTTTCCATTTATTTTTAACGCCTAGTAACAAACTATATTTTTAAATGGAAAGCAAAATATGTTTGCTTGGGTGTTATGACAAGATGTGGGCATGTAGGCTTTACTGTTGGAATAAATAATTATGTTTTAAGTTTTTTAAAATAAAACTTTTAATTTTTAAATTAATTTGATTATTCTAATTTATTAAGGTTTAAAAAATCACTATTAACCTAAATCCATAAAATTTAGTTTGATCATGTTTATAGCCACTCACGATTTCCAAATTATGGCTGGCGAGGCGAAAAACTCTAAAAGTTTTAGAAGTTGAGGGTGGGCAAGATACATTGGGTTTGCCCCTTATTAAAACTACTATTTAATATAAATAATAAATTATTAACTATAAGATATAATAAAAGTAAAAAGTAGCAAGTGTAATATGTATTTGTCCATCTGATTTGTCTCGGCTAGTTTGGACTGCAACACATAAAAAGATCTAGGTTTATTAATGAGACCAAAAATAAGAACCTTTCAAAATAAAACAAAGTAGGAGTAGCTCCCTTGTATGGAATTAGAGAATTACTAATTGTTTCCCAAACTTGTCCTTCTTATTGGCTTGTTTTCTACCTTTGATATTATCAAATTTCAACCTTTAATAGAGAGAAAATTCACTATTTGACACCAAAACAAAGAACAAATAACAATTGCGGGCCTCGATGCCACCTCTAAATGGATGCAACTCCTAATAGTGACACCAAAACCATTGGATTCCCTGCTATGCTCAAACCCTAAAAGAAAAAACAAAAGGGGCTAGAGGATGTCGGCAGCTTTGTTATCTCCTAACACTAGGTGCCCAAAATTTGAATGATATAGGATGAAAATTCAGAAAAAAGACTTAACCTCAATTCAATAAAAATGTGTTCAACTTGATTTCCATTGATCTTAAAGCCTATTTACATGTTAAATTAATAATGAACTGATACCCTGATAAAAAAATAAATAAACTTCATAAGAATTCAGATCTAGTCTAAAAATAGGAAACGTGAGATGATTTCAATCAACTTCAGATAGTTTATTTGAGAAGGCAAGTCCTTGCCAAAAAGCATATCGGCTTTATTTGATAATTAAAAATGAAAATAACTAAGAAAGTATTATTTAGAATTATTTTCATTAATTTGGGTGATATATATATATATATATATATATATAGGGCCATCTCCTTCTTCGTCTGCTAGGGTTTTGCCTCACGGTGAACCCTAGCCTCTGCCACGGTAATCTCACGCTCGAAGGAGTTCGCTCCTCCGTTTCGTCTTCCGTCATCTTTGGTTGTTTCATCGAGCTACGTCTTCTACTCGCATGTTGCAGGCGCCCGAAGACGACGAACTGTTCGCACGTCGTCTCCTAAACGACGACGCGTCTCTCTGCTCGCATTCACCTGCCCGACAGACGTTCTTGTTCGCACGTCTCACAGAAGGACGCGGTTGTTCCTGCCGGCAGACGATTTCTTCTTGCATCCTGTTCGCATCTTTGCGGCCCGTCAGATTATTTCTGTCCTGATCGTGACCATCTTGTGAGAGAGATGGCCTCGATGCTCCGTTCCTATGCAAATGCTCTTGTCGGCGACTTGCCCTTTCCTAGTAGTTCCCCTCCTCCAGGTTCAGTTCCTAGTTTTGCTATCGGTAAGTCCTGCAATGTTCCAGAATCTTTCCACAAGGCTCTTGAAGGTGGAGGTGATAACACTTTTATTAAAAAGTACACTTTTATTAAAAAGCTTGAAAAAAAAATGGAAAGCCTGCACTTATTCTCACAGAGGCTGAAACTGGTACTCTCGCGTCCTCTTGACGTTTTTCTCTAGTGGGAAAATTCTTTTATGGTCACGCAAAATTGGAGATCATTAGGAAGAAGTTTGATGCTATGAAACTATTGGGCAGTTGGATATTGGTCTACTTGACGGTAGACGTATACTTATTTAGCTATCTCATGATGTTGATTACAATCGCATTTTCTCTCGAAAAGCTATCAAGATTGACAATCGTTTTATGAAAATCCTGAAGGGGATTTTCGGTTTTGATCCAAAAGCGGAGTCCCCTATCATTCATGTTTGGATAAAGTTTTCGGAGTTAAAATTACATCTATTCAACATGGAAATTCTATACTCTTTAGCAACTGCTTACGGTAAGTCTCTCAAGGTAGATAATCCTACGTTTGCTGTCACTAGAACCTCTGTGGCTTGTGTGTTAGTTCAGAGATATATCACTCAACCAGCTCCGAATGAGATATGGATTGGCACTATTCACAATGGGTATTGGCAAAATGTTGAAATGAAATCACATCCTCCTTATTGCTCTCATTGTAGTATGTTTGGTCACAGCTCTACTATTTGTTATCGTTTGCATCCTCATCTAAGGCTAAATATCACTAAAGAACAACCACATATTATCTCTGTTGAGAAAATGCAACCCGATCTTCTTCCCAACACCGCAGTTCCTGAGGAAGAACAACATACTACAGCTACAGATCCAGTTGTGCTCATACCACCCATTGTTATTGAAGAAGACTCACATGCCAAGACACACGAGAGTGCTCCTTTGATCCAATAACAGAGCATCCGGTACAACATGTAGTTGTTTCTAATGTTCAACAATCTGCACATCTCCAACACAAATTAGACCAAGATCAGGTGATTCAATCTTCGGAAGAGGAATGACAGGTCTATTCCAGGAGGAAGAAGAAGAATGGAGGCCGACTCCATCTCGAGAACATATTGGATGATACATTGATTACTACTGACAATGACAATCATCTTACCACTTATTAGCTTGCTCCTTTCCTTGAACCAGAGGCAGATGCAAAAACCAAATTGGGTTGCTCTCTAGCCACCTGATACTATGTATTTCGGCTTTTTTTAGGATTTTTTTTTATCTCTAATATAATTTTCAGTATTTTCTAGTTTTTGGAACCCCTTCTGGTTTTGATGTGGGCAGAGGGTCATGTTTGGGCCCTCCAACACATTGTATCTGTATCTTTCTTTCTAGTTAATATATTAACATTTTTGGGTTAATTTTTCTTATTCTGATTTCTCTTGAGATATATATATATATATATATATTTCTACTTTTAAGTGAATACATGACTAGATTTCTCATTGTTTATTCATTTAGCACGAAATAACTTCACACTACAATACCATATCATGCATCCTTTTGCTTATTTTAAGCCTCTATGGAGCCTATTAATTATGATTTGACATGAATAAGCCCCATTTTTATATCTTCAACCACTTCAATCTAAAGTGGGTGAATTTGAGTTTGATAGCCTCCCGGATAACTTCCTAAAATATAGTTCTAATTTATATGAGAAATGTACTTTAAAACTCACTATTTCAATGTGTATCTAGTTTATGACTTCATGAGCACATTAATTAACTTATGGAGAACCTTGTACTTTTATGCTTCTACTTTGCATAGCACATCAAAAGAATGACATCAATTCAACTGAACTAAAATGAGAGCCAAACAACAAGCAAAAAGGAACTAAATTATTGTTAAAAATTAATGATTGCAGGTAAATATACCAGCTTAAAAAAGCCAATAATTTATAATATATAGGAAAACTCGTTGAATTTCAGCAACATTACCAAGGGGGTGTAAGGTTTAGTCCGCATATCGGGAAATGTCCTCGGTTTCTCCTGGAACGATACCAGACTTCCATTCTCTATGTCTTCATCCATCAGAATGGAATGCGATGAATTCACCCTTCGAGCCAGAGGGATGGGCGTGAACTCGACCCCACGGGGCAGGTCGCCCTCTGAACCAGAACGCTGAATTATGAATAATTTCAATTTATCCCTTTAAGCATCCAATGCCAAACACCGCCAAATAAATGAATTACAACAGTTCTCACTGCAGCTAAAATCCCTAGCCAAACAGATCCCCCTGCAAAACCAGCACCGGGACGCATAGTAAAATAACGGAAAAATCTAGAACCAACAAAATGCGTTTCATCATCAAGAAAATGGTACAGAATTCCCAAAACTGCCGCCAGATCAAGGGTGCCACGAAGCAAGCTCAATTCTAGACCCACAGCTGCAAGGATCCGTGAGACACCAACCACCACTTCGCCATCCAATCAGATAAACAAGAACATGCATACTCCTTCCAATTCCAATAAGAACTGATCGAGAAGGAGATTAAGACGGCATTACCTCTGCGCTCGTAGAACGGATTTGCTGGACAAGGGAGAAGAACAATGGAAAGCGAAGGCAGCCCGAAGATCGACGGTTTGGGTTTCCAGATCTAGCTAGTCGAAGAGAAAATTTAGGGTTCCGGCAGTAGGAGACAATGGCCAGAGGCATCCGTGGAGGATAGGATCAGCGATCTCCACCGGAGCCTATTCTGCTCATATATTACCAGTTTTCTAGAGAGAGAGATGGAGAGAGAATAGCATGACAAAGAGAAGCGTTTAACATCGAGAATTACTGCTCTGGTAAAATGGGATACATGAAATTGGAAATTAAAGATCATGTAATAAATTCTGTCTAATAATATCATGATATAAATAAAAATAATTATGTTTAGAAATTAATGATAATTATAATTATAATTATATTTATGAAAATCTAATAATTTTTTTATGTTATTATCAAATAATATACTTGTATTGTTTAATAGTTTAATTATGTTAAGATGATAAGTGATATATGACATCAAGAACATGTGTCCTACGAAATAAAATATAATTTAATTTAATTTTTTAATGATATACACTATGTAGAAGCATGTGAATGAGCTCATAGAAACGGAAAAAAACTAGCATACGTTATTCGGACACAGAGTTGCTTCCAAACAACGACCCCATGCACTGATCGCGGTTCAGGAAAAAGAAAACAACCGCAATAGTGCATCGTGACCGTTATCAGGACGCAGCTGCGTCCCCAACGTACGCAATTTTGTTTCCATAGAAACAAACTAGTTCCCAATCATCAGAAACTATGGATATAGCCAAACAATGAGCCAAATTTTGGAAAAATTATCGCTATATACATCTATTAATCAAATAAATCAAATATATCATGGATAGAATGTCATTTATTTAATATATTATAATTACATGATTATGTTCTCATAGTCTAATACTATGAGAGTACATAATCATGTTATTATTATGTATTCAATACATGACTTTCTACCCTTGTTATATTTTATGGGCAGATGTGTGTTGTAAGAAAATTTTTAAGAATTGGATCATACTTCGGCTATATCTCTCACCCCTATTGATTTGGAAAATGTTGTCCAATACAAATAAAAATTACATTAGAATATTATGTTATGTTTATGGCATGTGTTATTGATTTCATATATAGATTGTATTATCTCTCAACATCATTAAGTAATACAACTAAAATATTAAATAAAATAATTATATATTCATAAGTATAATTATAATAAAAATCAATTGTGACTATCTAATAGACACACACACTAACACATTTATGCTTTGGAGAATTTACATACATAGTGCTTAAAATTTTATAACTCACACCTACATGGACTTGTAGTTGGAACATAGTCAAAGCTCATTGGAGCTCGCATACAACAAGATCATCGCCGACACAAGTTATCATAGAACTTGGACATGGGATTGTGGAAGCTCCCAAGCAATAAAAGTAGTGTCAACAAATATGTTTTACAGAGAGTGTATTACTATCTTTACGTTTTGAATTATTTTAAATTAGTGATGTTGATTCGCATCCTCCATTTTCCATTAAACTTTTGTATCATTACCACATTTGAAATTCACTCTTGATAATTCACCTCTTTGATAAATCCAACTTCTAAA